TGTTTCTCGTAATGGCTGATACCATGTCTTACTGTCTCATCTTAGGAAACTAGTATATGCTACATGTCAATTACTGTTGTGAGGCGCACATTTCCAGACAGTTTATTTATGATTGTGCTCATAGGACATTCCAGCACTACTGTTTGGCGCGCCTTATGTTTCTGGGGTTCCGTAGTCCACTCCCTGCCTCAACTTCCTAAATTGCCATTCCCTCACAGTCGGACATTGGAACCCAACCAGGTAAGTAAACCAGGTAAGCACACAAATGTTTTTCACTGTAAAATTGTGAGTGGAAATGGCTCTCAAAATTGAGGGTCAGAGTGAATAATTATTTTCATTAGTATGTCGTTTCCCACCCAAAGAAACATCTCAATCTCAGGGACGCCGGTGAAAACAGGGCGCAGGACTCCGGAGGGCATATTAGTCACGTGACATTTAGGACTTCTCCCCTCCGTGGGCCTTCTACATACATGCTAAACGTCACGTGTGAATATCACGAACCTTGATTAAATCGCCCCACGCGCCCTGTTTTCACCATCGTCCGATCTCAGACAGTCTGTACTCTGTGTCAGTTGTTATATAACTCCTATCAAAGATGTTTCATGCCTTGCACGTTACCAGCAGCATACTCTTGAACCATTTAAGTTGTAGAATAAAGTCTGAGGTTGCATCAGCCCTTAGCAACATCCTGAGAACTGCCAGAAATTTGTGAAATAAAAACATAAGGGAGAAAATACACCATTATTTTATTGGCCGAAAAAATGTGATCCAAATGATGTGACAAGGACAAGACCTGGTACCATACTGACAGACAGTTGACTCATGATAAACTAGGAAGGATTTCTCAGAAAAATATCTTATTCTATACATTACTAAGCAAATAATAAGCACCAACTAGATAGCACACATACTCACCAAAGGACACCACCCATGTAAAAGGGAATCCCCGCGGCGAATACGGACGATCACGATGACGGAAGACATCCAATTTATTGTTTTAGAAATGTAATGACGTAATGAAAAGTTGGAAAACAGATGAAAGGTTTTTGAATTCCTTAGTATTAAAAACGTGCCTATCTTGCATGCATGGCGGCAAAACTTGCTATTTTAACTTTCATTAACTTTTCTCATCTCGATGAACTCTCGATGCCAAATACCTATATTCAAAGGGGTCAGACAGCACAGTGTGATTTGCCGAGCTCATGACGTCAAATAACCGAATCATGTGCTTTGAAGTGATACTGCGAATTTGAGACGTAACCGACGTAAACAAACAAACGCCTGTATCTCTACACGCGGCGGGCCGGGCGGCTTGTAAAGTGCGAGGAGGGTGGTAGATTAAGCAAGATAAAAGAATAAAATGGGAAATAACAAAATAAGGGTGGTCATAGTTTCGACTGAAGCAAGTAGCATCACCGGAAAAATAATGCGGCTTCGACACTAATTCACACTTAGCACTGGCCACTGCCAACTGATTGCCGTTTCAGTTTCGGTTTTGATTATATAGTTGACCCAAATTGAAATCAATTATCTTATGAAGGTTATGACCACACTTTCTTGCAGGCCCTGGCAGTTGACTTTGTCAAACTCATCATCATAAATTGGACTGTATAGGCCTATAATCCAACTGGTTGTCTTGAGTCGTGCAATAACGATATTGCTCTATCATTAATTTCAAAGCTGCTGCTTATTTCAATTATGCGTCAAAGAATTCAAGCCAAGAAACAGACAACACCAAAGGTAAACATATCTTATTTTTTTATTACATCTCATTTTCATGTATGAGATGTGTGCTCAATGCTGCTGTTAAATTTATGGAGATATTGCTGATATGCTTTGATAGCCTCAATATAAATATCTTGCTTTTTCAGCCCTTGCCAGCACCACCGAAAAGCTGTGAGAAGTACAAGAAGGTGTCTCCTGTAATTGACACAGGTAGGTGAGGTCACCTTAATGCTTCAAGATCACAGCAGTTGCAATCACCTGGTTGTGTAAAATAAGTTTTCATTTATTCTTCATGCACATGATAATCTAGGATCATTGCATGTTTCATCAATTTCAAAAGTCTTTGATGTGCAGTTGTTGTGTGCCTTCTTCATTTGTCAGTAACCCAGGTTAGTCTGTATTCAGTGGCAGGTGGTGGCTAGGGGTGTTGTCTGTGCGGCCGTTTTCCATCCCCTGACTCCCGTTCACCGCAGGTCCGAACATCCGTAAGCGGCAGGCGGCGCTGGAGCTGATCAAGCAGTACTACCACGTGCGCGCCGACGAGCTGTTCCGGCGCATCAAGGCGGCCACGCTGGTCACACTGGTGGTGGAGGTGGCGCGCCTCCAGCAGGAGGTGGGCTCCGCCGGACCGCCCCCGCCGCCGGCGCACAAGGACGCCGACCATGAGAAGCGCGCCGATCTGCAGAGGTGAGGGCGGTCCCGGGCGCAGATCGGCGCTCCTGGCACCCACTGCCGCTACCTCATATGAGCTGAATGTTTGTGATCTGTTGTCAGTTGTCACGCGCTCAACCGCCCGCTCAGCTCCCTGTGGTTCGCTCAGCTTCCCCACCCGCTGTTCCCTCCCGTTCAGCTCCCTCTGGTTGCCGACAGTCTGGTGGAGGGCACCGGCGAGCTGTCACTCTCGGCCGGGGACGCTCCGGCCGCCCCGGCGCCGCCCTCCATCGACGACCAGCCGTACCTGCTGCTCGACGTGCGCGAGCGGGCCGACTTCGAGCGCGAGCACATCGTGACGGCGCGCCACTACCCGGCCGCTCGGCTGGCGCGCACCATGAACTACGAGACGGCCGAGATGTGGCGCTACAAGCGCTCCCCGGACGCGCTGGTGGTCGTCTATGACGAGGACGAGGCTACTGCCCAGCGTTGCGCCACCACGCTTGCCCAGCGCGGCTACGACAACGTGTTCATTCTCAGCGGTGGGCTCAAGGTACGAACGGTGGTACAGGCGGGAAGGGTGATATGGGGGGCGACAGTCTGCTGGGTCTGGGTGCCGGATACTGTACGGAATCAGGGTGACGCTGGCCTTGCGCATTGGAAAAAGTATTTTATGCATTGAGCTATACCATATTACACACTGCGGGTTCTTTTGGAAGCCACATAGTACCTATCACTGTCAGAGGACTCGGATTATGTGTATGTACTACAATCACAAAAACGAATTATTGATGTTTAATTTTCATTTTTCCATCAGGTGGCTCGTAGGAAGTTCCCGCAGAGCCTGCTTAACTCTGGTACGTGTTGTTTTCCGTCAGGTGGCTCGGAGGAAGTTCCCGCAGGGCCTGCTGACCTCCGGTGACCGGGATCGGTTCACTGCCGCCGATATCGAGGCTCTGAGCGTGGCGCTGGACACGTTCTACACTACCATCGGTCAGTGAGGGGGAGAGGAAATCCGTCCGGGCACAGCTGGACGTGTATGGGCTGGATTACAGGGGCTATCGTGAATATGTGGCGGAGAGCGATGTTTATCCATTGCCACGCTTTCCGGTATTAGTAGATAGAGCATAAGAATACACAACAGCTTGTGGGTGAGCTGTGACATTTGCTTGTTTTTTCATTACTTTACCATCAGCCATTCATATACTTTACTTTTGGCCATATTATATGCGGTATTACTTTCCTATAAGTTATTCGGCCCGTTCGTACTGTTCTTTCATCCGCGTGTCGGCATCGTACCCTCCCACCATAGCAGGACCGTCCACCCTGTGTAGTGTATATCCTGCCGTACCGCTGACGCCCCTCCGTTCACACAGAGTCGCCGCGGGGCGCCGCCAGCAGTCGGTCCACACGCTCCGTGCACTCCTCGGACCTGCGTGCGGCCCGGCCGGCCACCAAATCCACCACCATGGACGGGCCGCGCTGGAAGCTGTAGCGCGGACGGACGCGGCGGCCGGAGGCACTGCGAATGGTCGCGCTCCACCAGACAACTGAGACTGAGCTGCGAGGTATGGGGCAAAACTATCGGGATCTCGCTGGTGAGAAGGCTCGCGAGAGCAAGGATACGAGATCGGTGGGCTGTCGCGGCTGTGTGAGAGCGAGCTGTTGGAGCGACGTCCCAGTTATCGTTGGGACGAACTCTGTGTTCATTTTGTTGGCTTTTCGCCTCATTTCAGGGGCGGGACATTCAGAGAAGTTACCAATCGGGGTTCCCCGCGACACGTTTTCAGTGCAGCGGGGTGATATCGGTCGCATGGACCGACTCTGATCTTGACATTGGTTGGATGGTGAGACGCTACACAACACTTCACAATCCATGGGCACACGTCCTATCCACGGACACATTTACCCATCCATACACACACATCGACTCCGTCCACAAATCAAGATACTGACGCAGAGTCACACCAAAACCAAACACTGAATCCCGACACCCACATTGACTTCATTTTTGTAATACCGTAAAGTGGGGCTATTTGAGACAGTGGGGCTATTTGAGACGGTATTTAAAATCGCTATAAAATGAAGAGCGTTTGATTTTTATGTGATATTTTTGCTCAGGAAGGTGTGGAATCGAGCAGTAAATTCGCCTGAGCAAAAATTAAGCAAAAATTTCAAACGGTTTTTATTTTATAACGATTTTAAATACTGTCTCAAATAGCCCCACTGTCTCAAATAGCCCCACCTTACGGTACACTGACTGACCATCCACAGACGCGCGCACGGGTTCCGTCCACACATACGCCGACTCCGTCCAGTAACGCTCAGTCTGACTGGGCGGCTCATCCACATACTACCGCCCGTAGTGGTCTATTCCCAGGGAAAGTCAGGCCGATAATCGTGCCTCGTGGTGTTGTTTGGCACCGGGCGCCCAAATCCATCTGTGAATGGTGGCGAATCTGCCGGTCTGGCCGTGGCTGAAGCGGACCGAGACCTGAGGCCACTGTGACTGTGATGTTTGATCTCAACGTTTGTACATTCTCAGTGCGAATCTAGTCAATACAGTGAAACGTTCTCAGGGCTGCGCATATGCCTCCTCCTCATCCCAATTAAACTCGACAGCACAATATATATTTATATATTGTTGGAGGATAGAATGCGCAAATTGACTAATTGTATTGTACAAAGTCGAAGGCACTGTGCGAGACGGTATAGCGGAAATTAAATATCTATACGGATCCAACAAACGTCAGGTATTTGGTATTCATTGACCTCCGTCTTCGCAACTCAAACGTCATCATGCGACTCGCGCGCCTCAAACAAAAATCACTCTGGCAAACCCAAACTAATCAACTTAGGTAAAGACGTAAGCTTCTTTAAACCAGGAACGACATAAAATGTGGCGATCGATCATAAGCAAGCCGCGCGTAACATTTAAATAGGCAACTTGCAAGCCCGTATCGACAACTGAGTACTAAGCATCAAGGACAAGCATACCGTTTCAATCTCTCTCTCCGCGGTTGATTTGCACTTTCCAATACATTGGTGGCGGGCGGTGGGCCCGGCGGCGGGCGGCGGCGACTACACCTGGGCCGGCTGCTTGTCCTTTTTGTTGCGACGCAGGAATCCGAACACGGAGCTGCGCTTGGACGAGCGCCGGTCCTGGTCGTGCTCGCTGCCACTCTCACTGCCGTTCCTGCGGGAGGGGGGGGGGGGGGGTCAGTTTTGTGCCGTGAGCTGAGACGACACGAGGCCAATATTGAAAGACAGTCAGTTCATCAATGACGAGAGGCTGGGTCCGCGTCCGGCAATCACAAGAGTTTTAGACTGGGGATGGTCGCCGCTCCACACACATTATGGCGGCAGGCTATCGAAAGTCATTGCCCAGGATCACCAGACCCCATAATATAGTTACACAGTCGTCCCCTCTGCCGCCCGCCCGCGCCGCCGGTGAACCCACCTCTGGTCGAGCGTGGCCGACTTGTTGCTGCCCGAGGGAGACGGCTGCTGGCCGTAGGGCAGCGAGCCGGTCCGGCCGGCGTAGTGCGGCGCGCCGCCGCCAGGTGGCAGGCCGGCGTCACCGTGCGGCGACCGCTGCCGCACGTCACCCGCTGTCGGAGGGCGGGGGAGGGTGGTCAAATAAAACCGTAACGTCACACGGCGCCGGGTGGTGGGGTCGGACCAGGGGAGGGGAGGTGGTCGGAACAGTTGACGGCAACCGCTGCCGCAAACCACCCGCTGCTGGGGGAGGGAAGGGGAGGGAGGGCCAGACCGGGCAACGACACAGTCTTATCGGCGCTTCCATTCCACTCAAAGCTAACCAGTAACCTCTGACAGCAAATTATGCGATACGCAAGCCGCCTAGACCACTGTTTTGACTAGCTCGCCATGACTCGTGCAGCGTCCACTGGCCGAGTATTCCTATACCCGAGTCCCAGACTGTGAAAGGCGGGCAGAGTCCATACCTCCGTCGACAGCGGAGACGCCTCCCTGCAGTCGGTGGGCGACCGAGGGGGGCGGCGCCGAGCTCGGCAGTGGCGGCGGCGACGGCTCTGAGGGGAACCAGAGGGTGAATCAGCTGGCGCTGGGCTGTCAGACAGCGGACACAGTGACAGACACACTGAGGGCCTATCAGGCACAGTTAGACAGGGGCACAGTGGTTTGGTATGAACTCGTAACCTCCTCACCACCTCTATCACTGGTGGTCGCGGCCACTCACCGTTCTGGGACGACTGTCGCGCGTTGGAGGAGTGCCGGCGCACACCGTTCCTCTCCTGAACGTCCACCTCTGTAACAGCACGGACATCACCGTCACGGGCCGGCCTCACACCAAGCGGGTTGCAGCATAGGACAGTCAGAGCCACCCATCCAATCGAGAGTAATGGCCGAACACTCATCTGTTCAAGAGTTGGGTTCAAGCGATCGTGTCTCTTTTCCCACTCACCAATAGACGGTAGCACCGACACCCGGTTCTGGTAGATGGGACCCTCGGCGGCGCCGGCGGTCGAGGGCGGTGGCCGCGACGCCGGCGGGCTGGACGAGGCTCCGCGCGGCGGCACGGGCGGCAGTGAGGGATCCTGTGGTGAGGCGCAGGGTCAGACTAGGATTGAGGTAGGTACCAGGGTACCGAGTCGTCCGCCCACACAGCGACACTAAATATAGAGATGGATTACAATGACAATCTACTGACTATCGAAAAACATTGCGCGTCAGGACTATCTTACATCAAAGAGTACAATACCGATCAATTGAACAATCGTTTCATTACCGTAGATAAGTTACTGTAAGTAGAGTAACTGTACACGTTAAGTTCACTCTAGCCGTCACATCCAGCATGTACAATGTATTGTATACAGCATTTGTTGTTGGGTTACGTGAAGCGTTATTTTGGTCCCGCCAAACTGTACCAGCCCAGGTTGGTTCAACTGACCTCCCTACCTAGTTTGAGCTTTGTTTGTTTGTTTGTTTTGTTGGGTTAGGCCCTTTCGGTCCAATGAGACCATTTCAGACCCGGGAGGATGATAGGATATAGGGGGAGACATTGGTCTGGGCAGGCACCCTAGTGAGTCGCCGGGGCTGAGCCCGTCCAGAGGACAGGCCACCCAGCCCCAAGGCACTCACTGCACCCGGCTACGGGGTGCGCTCCCTCGGGAGCAGCGGTGCCGCTCCAAGGGAGCAGCCCGCATGAGATAAAGTTGCCTGTCCAGTCCGGAGGGGGGTTGCGGCGTGGAGGAGAAGGATTTCAGTATCCTGAGGATGAAAGCACGGAACGGTGTAGTTTGAGCAGGATGGCTGCCCCACTATCCTCGCCAGCTCCGGGGGTCAACGCCCGTCTCGCTGTGCTGTAAAAACCTTACGTCCTGCCCGCCGGTCGGCCGATTCGTACCGTCTCGCCGTGCCGTATCAGACCTACCTGCCCGGTGTGTCTCCGCTGTGGGATCGGCAGATCGGCGTGCCGTATCAGACCTACCTGCCCGGTGTGTCTCCGCTGTGGGATCGGCAGATCGGCGTGCCGTATCAGACCTACCTGCCCGGTGTGTCGCCGCTGTGGGATCGGCAGATCGCCGTGCCGTATCAGACCTACCTGCCCGGTGTGTCGCCGCTGTGGGATCGGCAGATCGGCGTGCCGTATCAGACCTACCTGCCCGGTGTGTCTCCGCTGTGGGATCGGCATATCGCCGTGCCGTATCAGACCTACCTGCCCGGTGTGTCTCCGCTGTGGGATCGGCAGATCGCCGTGCTGTATCAGACCTACCTGCCCGGTGTGTCTCCGCCGTGGGATCGGCAGATCGGCGTGCTGTATCAGACCTACCTGCCCGGTGTGTCTCCGCCGTGGGATCGGCAGATCGGCGTGCTGTATCAGACCTACCTGCCCGGTGTGTCTCCGCCGTGGGATCGGCAGATCGGCGTGCTGTATCAGACCTACCTGACCGGTGTGTCTCCGCTGCTGCGGTGTCGGCAGGTTGGCGTAGACGGGCTCGGCTGGGTCCGAGTGCCGGTGCCGGACCGGCGCCGGCGACGGCTCGGCACTGCTACACGAGCTGCCGCCGTCTGCCCCGCCGCCGGGCAGACCCTGCGCGCGATACCCGCGCCCACCTCAGCCGGCGAGCGCAGCACACCGCATTCACAGGCACCATGCAGGGAGTCGCTCCCGCCCCCGCCCAGCCACCGCCCGGGGAATATTTACACCCGGTCTCACGGCGCCAGGTATAGGGCCGGTTCGATAGTTTAAAAACAATTTACAGAACGAGTAAATATGTTGGTCAGTAGTACGGATGGTTTGAAACGACGCAAGTCGTATGACACATCCAATATAATATATAATACACAGCTGTTCATTGACAGCATTATCTGGAAAATAAATTCAAAATGGGTCACTTCGAGTTAGTCGCAAAAGCTGTGTATTTCAAAATTTACATTGTCCTTTGATAAAGCGAAGACGTAATGTTAATTGTTATTGCTGCCTAAGACTGTAACATGGGTTGCTGAAAAGCTCGCGAATTTCGGGCTAGCCAGCACATTTTGGATAGCGTCAAAAGGGCTGCGCGGTTTATAGCAGCGTGGCGTTACGGGCCGTGTTATAGCGACGGTGGCGGGGGGGGGGGGGGCGGCCCGGTCCCGGGTCAGGCAGTGAGACATCGGCACTGGTCGGCCCCAGGGGCACAGACGGACGGGGTGGCGACTTGTGCGTGCAGTCCGCTGTCATGCGTCCACTCGTCCAGTCAGGGAAGTGAAACGCGAGGGCGTGCTGCCAGCTCAGCGGCATTTGAACAGACCTCAGACATGTGCCCACAGCTTAGGGAAGAAGTCCTTCGAGAGGCATTTACCGTCGTCCGTGACATCAGACAGAGAGATCGAGACGTGCGTCAAACCGTCGAACAGTCACTAGACATCACCGCAAGACCGTGCGTGGATTCGGATTACATACTTTCCTTCTAACGTCACGATGCACGTAACATACCACGATGCAATTACAGTCCGATATCAGTCATGCGTCTTTAGTCCACTTCAGTTCAGTTCAGTTCAATGCAGCAGTCCAATTAATCAAACCACGGCAATGGCAGGCGTTATCTCAGGCACCCTCTCCATGCTATACAGTCCGTTTATAACGCGGACAGTGTCAGTTTCCACCCCGGCTGTGAGTCTGCGGAGACCCGCGCAGACCCGGCGACCGCTGTGAGCCGTCGCCGGCGGCCTCACCGTCTGCCGATCGTAGCTGAGCAGCTGCTGGGACGGCGGCAGCTGCGCGTGAAACTCGATCTTGTTGATCCACTCCTGCAGCTGCTCCTCGTTATAGACGGCGAACAGAAACTCGGAGCCGTCCGACGGCGATAACCTGGAATAGACGGATCGCGGTCGGTCACCATGTGCGACCAATTGACAAGTACTTAGTTTTATTTTCTTTGACAGAAAGACATTCTCAAGCAATCGCAATATTCACGGGATTACACATTTTATTTTTCATCTTTGATACCAATGAGAATCCTTTGAGAACCCAACTAAAATTCATGACAACGCTAATTTTGCCTTGGCTACCATCGTTTCCAGAGTATCCACCGCGCCGCGCTGCCGTGCAAAGGCAAAAACCATTATGTCGGGTCAGAGGCCATTACCTCAGGTCAGAGGTCACCCGAACATAATGGGTTTTGCCTTTATACGGCAGCGCGGTCCGTCCGCTCACCGGAAGACGTGCTTCTTCTTGGTGTAGTTGAGCGCCCGCTCGCAGCGCGCCTGGTAGAGGATCAGAGGGGGTGCCGCCGCCTTGCTGTTGGCGAAGTCGTCCATGTCCTTGAAGAAGCAGAGCAGCTGGCCGCACAGCACTGCAACGACACAGACCGAATTGTCAAAGACCGACACCACATGAGAGTGGTGCTTCTTCATTTAGTTTGTAAAAACGATTACCTACGCACAACTAAGCACCGGTGTAGTGTTTCTAGCTGCGGATGCGTACCGTGAGGTCAGGTAAGGTTCGATTAGGTTAGGTTAGCGTCTTCAGCTGCAGATACGTCCTGTGTAGTAATGTTTCCAGCTGCGGATACGTACCGGTGTAGTAGTGTTTCCAGGATACGTATCGAAGTAGTAGTGTTTCCAGGACACGTACCCGTGTAGTAGTGTTTCCAGCTGCGGATGGTGGCCTTCTTGCCGCCGCTCTGCAGCTCCTGCTTCCTCTCCAGCATGCCGTCCATCTCCACTGGCGGCAGGTTCTCCAGCTCCTCCAGACGCTTGGCCTTGCGGAAACTCTGCGTCCGCCGCCGAGTGGTGAACGACGGCGTCCGCTTGGCCTTCTTCGGCTCCGTCTTCATGCTCTCAGCACGCTTCACGTCACCTGGGGTGATGTCGGGGAGGTCAGTGTGAGTCAACTGAGGTTAGCGCGGGTCACCAGAGGATGCGGAAGGCCACTCAAAGATACATCAGGTCACCAGAGATTACAACAGGTCACTAGAGGTTACAACAGGTCACCAGAGGTGCTCACGTTATCGCCGGGAACCAGAGCTTGCATCGTGTAATTGCACATTTTATGCATCAAGCAAGATCACTCAGCATAGCATTTACGGCGGATACTGTTGATTGAAATATGCTACGAATAAATCGGTGCACATACTAGTGCCCTCTAAGCAAATATTCGATATATCAAACTCTGAAGTCTCAATACCGCATGCCTACAAACACTAAACGAACGCTGACGCATGAACGTTTCAGTATCATGCTTCACAGTCGACACTCGACAGCTCCGCCGTCTGGTGCTCGCGAAAAATGAACAACCATGCGAATGGCCGCGCTCAGATCGTAGGCGGGCTGCAGAGTGTTAGGCGGTGCTCATAGCTGTGAGGGTCTGCCGGTGGCCGGGCTAACGACACGTGCGTCTCGGCAGGGCGAGGTAGCTAGAGACTCGGGTAATCGACTCGCGTGGCGGGAGGGGGAGGGGGATATCGCCTGTCGGTGCCGGCGCTAAGCGGACCAGCGTCCAGTCAGTGGGAAGCGACTACCCGCAGTTGAGGGGGCTATACGACCAGAGCGGACACTACCACAACACAACCGGACAGCCAGGGGTGAGGGGGCGACAACACCTACCGCCAAACAGCATCTGAGAGCCCTGGCGAATCACTAGAACCACAGACCGGCCAGGTCAGAACAGGGTCAGACAGGGGTGAACTCAGGGTCAGACAAGGTTAGTTTAGGGGTCAGACGGGGAGACTAAGGACAGAGAAACCGACAAGTAGCAATGGAGCCAAGACTTGGCAAAACTTACCACGCAATGTGGTTACGGGGAGAAGACTAAGGCGGAAACAACGAAAGATGATGGCTGGACATTGATGGCGCTCACTGCTGGCCTGACGTCGTACCCCAAACACAGCTTTTAAATGAGTGACTCATTGAACCATCCGTGTTTAGCGATACAAACGGGACAGTCAGGAATGGTTCATATTCTGAGCTTACCTCGCTTAAGACTAGAAAGACTTGACTGGCTCCCCATCTTCTTTTCAGCAAGCATGGGATTCTTCAACAGCATCCTGCGAACGAGACGACACGTGTGACCGAATGGGCTGGTAAGGCGGCTGGGTATGCGAGCGCCCACTCGCCAAAAATCGGGTTGGACACGAGACAAAATACATATGAATCAATACCAACCACAAACGATTAGAAACATACCAATGTAAACGGCGGGCAAATATTCCTTCCGACATCAATTTTATATAAAAATTATTATTATTATTTGTTAATTGGCGAGAAGATTAGTGAAAAGTTATTAGCTGCAAACATTCAGCGCATTAATTAAATTTCAGCCAGTAATACAATGGTTATGTAAGTATAATGAAAATGCTGAATTAGATAAACGAAAGCTTTTAGCCAATCAGGGCCCACTTTTGAAGCGAAACAAATAGAACCACCAAAATAAGTGCAACATAAATTAACAAGCCAACAAAACATAAATATGAACAACCCAAAAACCGGGAAACCCATTTTTGTACACGATGATATATTAGGGCATGTTATGATTAACGTAAGTATATTTTAGTACAAAATTGCTATTCAAGCCGGCTGCGAGGGGCACCGTATCCAGCTGGCATACAGGGGTCCTTCGCCCACGGACTGAAAGCAAGTCCACCTTTGTACAGCAAATAACTGATCACTGAAAAATAGACCGACTTGCTGGTTCTCGAAGGTCAGAATGGCGACTAAGCCCATTCACATTCCATAGCTTATTCCCACGGGCACTCGAAGGTCACAAGCCCGAACGGAGGCACCGACATTTAATCCCCGACTGACATCGGCCGTTCGTGACAGATATTCCCGTGAATATGTACCCGGCGTAGCGACTTCTGGTTCTAATAAAAAATCCCAATACTAAAACACAATCCCGCGACAACACAGCCCGCAGTCCGCGAACATAGATAATGTGGTGTGATACGTTCTACAGAAGTGAGGCGACTGCCGGGGCAACACAAAACTGTGTAAGCTGGTGAAACAAATGCGTAAGTGAAACGACTGCGCAAGAGTGACAAAAATGTCACTTGTGTAATATCAAAAGTAGGGAAATATAAAATATCCAGTGTGACGACAGGGCAGTGATTGTATGCTGTGTACGCGGAGGCGGGACCGAAAAATCACATCTAGCCAAAATTTACACCAAGCAGCCGAAAATATGCAGGCAAATAAAACTACGCCGAGCCACGAACCAAACAAAACACGAATACACAACCAAGGACCGAGCAGGGTGTCTGTACTGTATCATACCGCATACTGAACAAAACCGGACGGACCGCCCACCGAGCGCGCGCGCGTTAGAGCCAGGCAGCGGCCGGCGAGCAGCACCTAGGGACGCCCGCACCACTAGTCCGCCGTGCCCGGTTAGCGCTAGGCGATCTGAGCGGGCGGCGGAGCGCCAAATACCTCTCGGCGGCCACGTCTGGAAACGAGGCCCGGTGAGTGGGCTGGTGGTTCAGGCTCTCCTGCGACTGGTGTGGGCTCGAGGAGGCGCCCGCGCGCGCCGCCTCCCGGCGCTGGGCGCTGGCCACGCCCGGTCAGGTCAGGTCAGGTCAGTCGGGTCAGGGGCACGGTCCGAGCACAGGGTCAACAGACAGCCAGGCCGGCGGTGGGACGACCGGGCCGGTCCCGTCACTGAGGGAGACCCGTCGTCCCACCGCCGCAGAGCACTACCGGAGCGGCGCAGACTGAGCACAGTCCGTCACATGCGATCAGTTGGTAACACGGCGGGCGCGCAAAACTACACACTGAGAGCCACAGCAGGCGCCCTTACAAGGCGGAAGAGAGCGAGAACAACATACTACACATTGCTCAAAACGTTTTAGTTACAAAAATAGAACCCGAAAGATCGATCACAAGAAAATGTCGGGATTTCGGTTATACACGATACCGATTGCATGCGACGTTCCAATCAAACTCGAAGTCCTTTAGGTTCAAGTAAGAAAAGATGTAACTAAGGCCGTGTCTTTAGTTTACTCTAGTCACCCGAGAACGAGAGACAGCCAGTAAGAAGAGACGTTAGTGACACTGTATTGAAAGACTCCCCAGAGACAGAGCTGGGAGCAGAGACGGCGAGTGTAACAGAGAGGGAGGGAGCTGTCCTCACCTGGGACTGGCGTCTCCCGCCTCGTGTTCCACCTCCAGGTACCGACGCTCCTGAAAACGGAACATCAGCGATCAGCGACAATCGTCGGAAAGGGAATAACACACATGGAACGCGGCGTCAGAATGTTATACATTACAGGACGTGTACCTGGATAACTGCGACATGTTGGTAAATCAGAACGGTTATCATGAAAGATAAAAAGTGCTTACGCAGCCCAATTATCGTCAGCTACCAACCACACTACCAAATACGAGTTTACAGACCATCGCACGCATTGAAAGCACAAGCTGGTCAGGACAATATGTTGGCGTGTAGGTCGGTGCCGTCTGACAATTACCTTAGTGATCCTATCGACCTCCTGTTGCCGAATCTGCCGGAGCCGCTACTGACCCAGACCCGCCCCCTCTGTAATCTTACAGAGAGATGTCTCAGTCCGCTCACCTTAGTGATCCTATCGACCTCCTGTTGCCGGATCTGCCGCAGTCGCTCCTCCTCCCGGCGCTTCTGCTCGGCCACCCGGGCCTCCTCCTCGCGCCGGCGCATCAGCGCGAACGCCTCCTCCAGCTGGGGATAACGAGGGCCGTCAGATGGGGACGGGGCAGTTACACAGCAGACGGGACAGTTGCACAGCGGACGGGACAGTGACACAGAGACGGGGCAGCTACACAGCTGTCAGATGGGGACGGGATATAACCGCTGAGCTGGACCGTGACCGTCAACCGAGACAATCAGAGACTATAGAAATGAACTACTGTTGTGCACCGCCGTTACGAAAGGACCCCCACTATGAACAATCCCACCGATTCTGATATCACACTAGCCGCCTTTTGAGGTGGCAAACGCGACTTCATTTCTAAGCATCTGCAGCCGTCCTAGTCTAGGATCTCACGCTGCCCTTCTCAGCTTCACTACCATCCTCTGAGGCACTCCGTTTCTCTCCTCACCCGTGTGGTACGCCGGAGCGCGTCGAACTTGTCCTCCTGCGACTCGATGGTCTTGAGGAAGTCGTCGTGCCGCCGGATGAGCTCCTCGACCTCGGTGATGCTGGCGCCCACGGCCGGATCGTTCAGCACCGGCTCCCGCGTCTCCAGCCACGACTCCAGCTGCGCGGCGTCGCGCTTGAAAATCTGTAAAAGACACGGGCATGGAACGGGGTGAATTACGAAGGAGCCCAGTCCACTCAGTAATAAGTGAAGAAGATTCTACATTGAGGAAAAAGACTTAACGATCACGGAGAATGAATCACAAAACTGCACGAATATAAAGATTGTAGATTCATGGCCTTCATCAAATAGGTAGTGGTTGAGCACAATCGGTTGAGGGACAAGGAACAATCAATCTTCATATTCCAATCAATTGAAATTCACAACACCTGACAATTAACCCCCGTGCTATATCCGATTCCCCGTCACGAGACCGGCAGCGTACCTGAGTGTCCAGACTCTGTTCGTAGATGTCCTGCCGGTCCTTCCAGGTCTGCGCCAGCAGGTCCCTGCGAGCCCCCAGCACATTGACCTTATCCTGGATGTCGGTAGACATGAAGTGGCCGCTCGATATCAGCTCCTGGCCGCGACTGATGAACTGTGAATGGACGGACGGGCCAGTCAGAGACGGAAACCGAACACTGACCACATCCATTTGCCAGCTTTCAGCAAAATTCAGTGTCAGACTGACCAATCATCAACCACCTCCTCAAACGCAGCGCTTTCTGAGCCCAGATACTGACCGCGTCGACGGCGTCCTGTCGCGTCTGCAGCTCGGCCTGGTACTCGGCGTGTCCCTCCTCCCTCCCCCTTACCGCGTCGACGGCGTCCTGTCGCGTCTGCAGCTCGGCCTGGTACTCGGCGTGTCCCATCCCTCCTCCCTGCCTCCCTCCCCCACTTACCGCGTCGACGGCGTCCTGTCGCGTCTGCAGCTCGGCCTGGTACTCGGCGTGTCCCCTCCTCCCTGCGTCCCTCCCCCACTTACCGCGTCGACGGCGTCCTGTCGCGTCTGCAGCTCGGCCTGGTACTCGGCGTGTCTGGCCAGCAGCGCCTCCGCTCCCGCCACGTCCCGCGCCAGCTCCGGAGCCGTGATCTTGGCCAGCAGCTCGTTAATCCACGCCCTGACGATGGGGTAAACGGTGAGGTTAGCCAACGAGACCCTGGGATGGTAAAAGGTTAATGCTGTTCAACAAGTGATGGAGCGTTGCAGACGGACATAAAAACTAGAATACATTAACAGAAAAAGCTTATCACACAGCAAAGAGAAGACAATATTTCTTTCAGCATTCCCGTGACTCTTCAACCACTCACATGAGGTCTCTGTACTCGTCGAAGTAGGCCTGAATGTTGGCCGCCTGCTCGAGCTTGTCCTTCCTCTGGGCCGACTTGTCGAGCAGATCGTTCCAGGCCTGTACTGTGTCCTCGTGTTTGACGCTGATGTGCTCCCGGGCGTCGGGAAACTGGGAGGCCAGCCGCTTGGCCTCGGCCACCACCTGCTCCACCTGGTATTAGACAGAGAGAACGGACCGGGTAAGAAAGGCATCAACCGCAGCCGGTAAGAACGCATTGCAAGAATAACAGCAACGCAACCAGCTGCATTAAAACAAATGAAATTAGTTGACGTTTCGTCAGTTATATTTCATCATTTATGCTATGCAGCGCAGAAAAAATACTGATATTCAACGATGACAGGTGTGTGTCGTCGCTCGTCCCTCCCCTCTTCATGTGTTATCCCATCAACCCTCGACAACTAACTATTCCGTCGGCCGTACCTGCTCCTTGACGGCGGCCAGGTCGCGCTCGAAGCCCTGGTGTCGGCGCACCAGTGCCTGGATCGAGTCCAGGTCGTGGCCGTAGTCGTCGGTCGAGATGGCCGCCTCCTTCTCGCCAATCCAGGCGATCGTCTCGTCGGCGTCACGGTCGAACACATGCACCTGTTTGGCGCCGGCCAGCGCCTCCTGGCGCGCCTGGGTGAGCTCGCGCAGCTCGTCCCAGCTCTGGCGCAGGTCGGCGGCGCGCTGCAGGATACGCTCCGGCTGCGGGTGACCGCCAGCCACCAGCTGTCGGGCGCTCTCCTCCACAGAGGTGACACGCTCCTCACTGGACTGCAGGCCGCTCAGGAACTGCTCGAACTTGTTTATCTGCCGGAGAAGCGGGCGGGGTGAGTTGGGGGAGACTGATCTTTGGATGCTTAAGTCGTGTATGATCCGACTTAACTCATGTTTTTCTGTCATAATTGACGAAAAAAGGCACGAATCGAAAATATTATCCTGTTAATAGTCGATGACAGCTGGTTCCTTACGATACAAAGTTCTCGCTGCAGTGGACCACTACCACACACGTTACAGGCTCCACGTTACAGGCTCCCTACCATAGTTCGCCGTGTCCTCTCTCGACACTCGCCCACACAACCTCAGCATCAACCCGCGCCGCCATCACTCACCAGCAGTTCGACGTGCTCCACGTCCCTGCCGTAGTCCTCGCTGGCAGCGATCTGCTCCTGGTCGGAGACCCAGGCGGCCGCCTCGTCCGCCTCGGCCAGGAAGCGGAACAGCTGGCCGCTCTGCTGGAGCCGCAGCCGGCGCGTCTCCAGCAGGCCCACCAGCTCGGCGTACTGCTCCTCGAGCCGCGCCTGGCGCGCGCGCATCTGCTCCGTGTCGAAATGGGCGCGGTCCGACAGCCGCTGGCACAGCTGAGATAGCTTGGCGATCACCTGAGAGGGGGGGGGGACGGTCAGGTGTCGCAGCGAGAGGAAAAGGAGCGAACCACTGGCCAGTATGGGGGCCGAACCCATGACATTCGCGTTATTAGCACGACGCTCTAGCCAACTGAGCTAACCGGCCACCGGTGTGTAGCCGAAACAAGCAATGTCACATTTTTTATTTACTTTTTATAACAATTATTCGATCTTTACGCTCTTGCGGCCTCGCCCAGCCGTCATACGCCGGCGCGTCTAGTTGCGGCTCTACGGCCCAGTACCCAGGTAGCAGTCGACAGGCGTGTTCCGACCGCCCAGCTCACCTGGTTGTAGTTGTTGATGTCGCGCTCGACCAGGTCCAGTTTCTTGGTCAGCGACGTCACCGCGTCCCGGTCCTTGCCCGTGTCCGAGGAGGTCAGCAGCGGCTTCCGCTCCCGCATCCACTTGTCTGCCTCCTCAGCCTCCGCGTAGAACTACAAGAAGAAGCGGCAAGGAGTCAAACATGGCAGAAGGACAACAGCGTTACTACCAAGAGCACACGACAAAGGCATCACAACGATATGAGGAGTGGCAATAATAACCACAAACGCTAGGGACAAGACAAACAATAAGATATTCGGTAACATCAAGACTACGACCCTTAGAACAAATCAAATAGCTGAAAAAGCCAACAGTGTTGAAGAGGCCAAAACAATTCCATTAAACGCTCCCGCTATACTTTTACCACAAAAAGATTAGAAGGTGAAGCTATCTAATCCATCACACTCCCTCCCTCAGGCTGCCACAAAATGCCCACCTGTTGCGACTCGGCGGCGTCGAGTAGCCTTAGCCGCCGCACGCTGGCCGCGTCCCGCACGTGGCCGTGCCGATCCTGCAGCTGCCGCCAGCGACGCTCCACCTCCGCAGACGCAAAGTGGTTGGCGCGCATCATCTGCTGCGCCTGGCTGCCCAGCGCCGTGATCACCGGCTCGTGAGACTGGATCTCCGCCTCCAGAGCCTGTAATGAAGGAGAGGGAGTACAGGGTTATGGACGGATCTCCGCATCCAACGGCACCGAGAGGGCATCAGGGGCTGGTTTGCTCTCCGGGCCCCCGGATTTCGAAGGTCTTCAGACCCCGGTGGATCTATCAGAGTCAAAACTACGCCCAATGGCCAGTATGGGGGGTCGAACCCATGACGTTCGCGTTATTAGCACGACGCTCTAACCAACTGAGCTAACCGGCCAACGTCCGGGCGCGATTCAGCGATTTCAGCGCGGGACAGCCGGTAAAAATATCCAAAGCCTAGTACTCTTGCGAATACAGGCGTAGCAGACCTCCAAGTCACGACCCCCGGGCCTGAATCTGCCGTGTAAAGGCAAAAACTACTGTGTGAGGTCAGACTCTGACCTCACACAGTAGTTTTTGCCTTTGCGCAGCAGAAATGGACCCATCCCAAATTCCCTACGCTGTTCCCCTTTCTCACTCCGTCCCAAACACTCACCTGGTGGTTCTTCTGGAGGCTCTGGACCTGGGCCAGGGAGCTGCCCAGGTCCTCCGAGGCCACCAGAGGCTCCTTCTCCGCCAGCCAGCCCAGCTCGTCGTCCACGTCCCTGAGACAGCAGTGGCAAGACGTCAGCACAGGGAGGCGGAACGAGCAAACCATATCCGAGGGTTACCGATCGGGATATCCGTCAGAAGTGACTCATCTGAAGATCAACATTCATAGCGGAAATCCTGGATAAAGAAACGAACTTTGCAAACTAACAGGTATTTCGTTGAACATTCTCCTCATTAATGTCTTTCACCTGACAAACTGAGGCAGTTCGGTGACCTTGTCTGACAGGTCGTTACTCCGGAGCTCCACTGAACTGACAGACTGTGCCTTCTGATTAGCCTTACTGACCTTATGAACTGGTGCAGCTGGGTGGCCTGCTCCAGGTTGTCGCGGCGGATCTGCATGGGCTCGGCCAGCGAGGCGAACCGCTTGACCACGTGGTTGGCGCGCTCCGCCACCTCCTCCCGCTGAAAGTGCTGAGAGCGCGCGAACTGCGCAGCCGTCTCCTTCGCCTGAAACAGAGTGATAAGGAAATTCTCAATCTTACGTCTTATCTTGTAGTATGAATGAGAACATTGATGGAACGAAGTCACGGACAACGAAATTCTGGACGAAAATGTGTGATAGCCTTATCGAGTGCGACACTCACCAAGCTGTATGTAGACTTGTACCGTTATGTGCATCGACAGTCTCGCTGGCATGGTGACAGACTCAACGATTCCCCTCCGTCCTTCACTGCTGCGTACTAAACCCTATTCACCGGCCGTCCCCACACATCCTTCCAATCCGGGCGCGATCACTGCAGCTGTCAGCATTGCCCACCTGCTGTACAGCGTCGGCGTGCGAGTTGATGTCGGCCTCGAGCAGCTGGTGTCGCTTCAGCAGGTTGGCGGCGGCCGTCAGCGAGTCGCCGTGGTCCTCGGAGGCCAGCTGTGACTCCACCTCGTCCATCCAGGCGTCCAGCTCGTCCAACGTGCGATGGAACAGTAGCGCCTGGTAGGCCTCCTGGAGCCGGCGCTTCTTCAGCGACGTCTCGTCCTGCAGCTGGCGCCAGAGCGCCTCCAGCGCGTCCAGCCGCGCCTGGATCTCCATACCGGCGTAATGGCCGGCCGTCATCAGAGCCTCACCCTCCTGTAACGGGGAAGGGGAAGGTGTCATGGTCTGGGGATGAAAGGTTCTACAGGACAGCCTAGGACAAGACACCTAACACCGGCTAAAGCAAGTACAGTCAAACGATATTTTAGGTCAAAGTCGCAGTCAATTACATCTGTAAATGAGCCGGTCCGTTAAGAACAAAATAGAAAAGGTTCTTCTATGACCGTTACGATGATATTATTTGATGTGCACTATAATCCTTTTCCCAAATTCTGTCTACGCCTTGCATCACACCAAGCAGCATCCTACAGACGGTCTCACCTGGTTGACAGCCAGCACGCGTCCGGCGTTGGCCTGCAGCTCGGCCTCGAACGCCTGGTGTTTCTGGATCTTGGACTGCAGGTTGGTGGGGTCGCGGTACGACTCGTCGCAAGCCACCTGCATCTTCTCGCCGAGCCACGTCTCCGACTCGTAGATGTTGCGCAGGAAGCGCTGCAGCTGTAGTGACTCGGCCAGACGCTGCTCGCGCACCAGCGACGACTCCTTGATACGGTCCCTGCGGCCGACGGAAATGAGTGAGTGAGGACGGACGCTCGGTGAGCGCAGAGCTACCTACCAGATGAATTAATCAGCACAGGGATGGGTCCGCAAATCACGGCACAAATAATATAGTTAACTAGCCGAAACTTGCTTCAAGGAGCTTTTCTGTCAGAAAATGTTTGAAAAAGGTTCTTAACCCAGCCCTCGCCGGCCGGTTAGCTCAGTTGGTTAGAGCGTCGTGCTAATAACGCGAATGTCGTGGGTTCGACCCCCACACTGGCCAGTCCGATCTTTATTTCCTCCAGTCTCATAACAGTTTCATAATTTCATGGATAGTTTCCAGGGTCCAGACTCTCCCCCGTCCCACCCAGAGTGTCCCACCTGCCCCTCTCTACTGACTGACAGACCGTTCCACACTGCGCGACCCGGTGGTATCCATGCAGACCTCGTTCGTACAGACGGCGCCTTACCTCTGACATCAGTCTGACCTGACCACGCTCTTCCAAATATCCTTTGAAGGTTTGACAGATGGCGGAATCTGACCTGACCTTCCCGGTCACCCCGCTACCCATCCACTATCTGACATAAGTCGGTCCCGGCTTTCACCGAGTCCCTCTGCGTCCCCATTCTCACCTCCTCTGGCAGACGGCCTGCAGCGTCTCCTGAATGGCCTCCGAGTCGTAGTGTTTGGCGGCCACCAGCTGCACCGCAGACTGCTCCAGCTCGTCCACGCGGCTCGCCTGCGCCGCGAACGTCTTCTCGAAGCTCTTGTGTTTCTTCATCAGCGCCTCCACGCTGGCGATCGAGTCCTTCGGGCGGGACGGATAGTGGTCAGAGACGGGCATCGGCTCAGACGGAGTGGCGGAACAGAGATGTGCAAAGCGACATAAGTGTGAGAACTGAGAATCAAAAGCACCTAATCCGGAGATATTAAAGTGTTTTACTGGGGCAATCAAACCCCCAAATAAAAAATCAGGTTTCGTCTTTTATCCGGCTCGAAGTCCACTACAGAGTGACTCTGTTATTCAGCACGCGCACCCTACAGACCCAAAGCCGTCAAATCACGAACCGGCCCCGCTGTCTCACCCCGAGGTCGTCGTTGTTGAGGAAGGCCTCCTTGCCGGCCAGCCAGGCGTGCGCCTGCTGCGCCTGCCGGTCGAACAGCTGGCGCTGGTGTGCCTGCGTCAGCTGGTGGCGGCGCTCCTCCCAGCTGGCACCCAGCGTGCGCCGCAGCTCCTCCAGCTGCGCCAGAGACGTCTCCACCTCGTCACGCGCGTAGTGCTGCTCCTGCACCAGCTTGTGGCCAAAGTCTTTGAGCGCCTTGAACGCCTCCTGGCGGCCGTCCATCTCCGCCTTACGCTCCTAGGAGGGGAAAGATAGGAGAGGTCAGCGGGGAATTACATGATTTATGACTGCTACAAATTTAAGCACGAATAAATTAGCCACGAAAATATTTTGAGTAATGACTCAACAAACATACGACTGCAATGTGATACATACGATGCAGATTGATGCATGTGAGCTAACAAAAAAAAAAAAAAAAAAACAGCTGTAGCTGATCCGACTTATCACATGACACTCCAAAAGACACCCACACCTCACGCCACCATTCCAGTCCCCTCCACTTCTTCACTCCCTCTGGCTCACCTGGTGGAGCTGCAGCAGCTCCTCGGCCCTCTCTGCATCCCCGCCGTCGTGGCTGGCGGCCATGCGGCTCATCATGTCGGCCACCCAGGCCTCGAGCTCTCGGCGGTCGGCGTGGAACTTTTGCAGCGTGTAGGAGGAGGCGAGCAGCGTGCGCCGGTTCTCGCAGCTGGTCTGCAGCCGGCGCCAGCTGTCCTGCACCACCTGCAGCCGGGCGCGGATCGGCGCCGCACGGTCCGCGTACTTCTGCATCAGACGACGCGCCTCGGCGTCGTGCTCCTGAGAGCGAGAAACGAGGAGTTAGAAACAAAAGGAAATAATTGTTCGATGATGACAACGATTACGCTTCATCATCGCTCGGACTGGTCATTGACGTCCATCGGGAGGAGCTGAAAGACGGTCAACAGTGCTCTTTTAAGTACCTCCCTTTTACTAAGATAGTTTTCATAACCTAAGTTGGTCAAATATACCGTCATTACCAAAGGTTAAAGAGCTCATCGTCCCTCGGACCTCCTCTGCTGCAGCTTTGCCATGACGTGTAGGCAGTCGGCACCTCTCCCTCGATCCCCACCTTGAGTTTTCCGTCGATGGCGGTCATGTCTCGCTCGGCGGCCTCCTGTTTGCGCTGCAGAGCCTCCACTGAGCCGAGGTCCTTGCCCGTCTCCTCGGAGGAGAGTGAGAGCGCCTTCTCCTGGATGCGTTCGGCAGTGTCGGCCAGATCTCGGTAGAAGGCGTGCACCTCGAGAGCGGCGGCCAGCTGCTCGCGGTACGACGAGAGCGCGCCCTGCAGCGACTTCCACCTGTGAGGAGGAGAGAGGGAGAGGGGGTTAGGCCAGAGTGCCACGCAGGAGCAGAGCTGGACAAACTTTCGGACCGTAGTGCGCGGTTGTCTATCGGTCGAGCTATAATAAACCGGATGCCGAGAACGAAAGAGAATGGTGTGGTTGTCGATCCCCTAGAAATTTCGGCGTTCAACTATTTATGGAGCGAAACATTTACGTCAATTATCTACAATCACTTAAATGAAGCAGCTCTTTTACAATTCAAATAAAGCTCTGTTAAAATTAGATCAAACTTCCAGCAAAAAAAAAAAAAAAAAAAAACTCAACACCCCCTCGAGCAGTGAAGTCCGTACCTCTGGTTGAGCTCGTCGCGTTTCTGCTGCACGGCCCGGTTGTCGCCCTGGCCCTGACGGATCAGCTTGTCGGCCAGCGCGTTCATGTTCTTGATGCGCACGTCGTCGACGCGCATGTCCGAGTCGACATCGTCGAGCCGTCGCTGCAGCGCCTGGCAGTGCTCGTAGTCGCGGCCCATCTCGGCCGCTTGCACCAGCATGTCCTGCGGGAGAGTGACATAGCACGACGGGGTGACAACAGTGACTTAGAGGCTGGTGCGAGACTGAGGTATGGTTGAATGGGAACTGAGACTGAGGTGGGGCATCCATCCCGCCAATAATCCATCTTTTCAACGCATCCATACAACTATCGAGCATTACGTCAATCTTACCTTGTCTCGGATCCAGGCCTCGACCTTTTCGACCTGGTTGTTGAAGTCGAGGATGTCCTGCGCCTCCTCGAGTCCGCGTCCGCGCGAGGCGCTCTCGGCCAGCAGCTGCTGCCAGCTGGCCAGCAGGGCGTCCAGCTGCTGCCGGATCTCCCGCGAGCTCAGGTGCTTCTGCTGCAGCAGCTTGTCACCTGGGGATAGGAAGGGAGGTGCTAGTTAGATGCTATCCTTACTGCATCACAATCAAGATCAGCTCGCCAGCGATAGTCGAACAAACAGCAGCGGACAGTGCCCCGCAAATAGGTACAAACGCTAGTCTTGATATTAATATCCCATTCTACATCGGTTAATTGTAAATGCAATCGACGAAACTCAACTGACCAATTAACGGAAGAGAAGGCTGAGAAGTCTATCCCTCTCCATCAGTTCCCGACAGTCACTTTCCGTCAGCCTTTCTCCCCCCGGCCGTTCCCTGTCGCTCACCCTTGTCCTTGATCTCGGCGATGCGGGGCTTGTTGGCAGTAAGCTCGGCCTCGAACGTCTGGTGCTTCTGCAGCTTCTTGATCTTCTCCTCCAGACTGGTGACGTCAGTGCCAGCCTTCTCCGCCTCCAGGGCCTTCTTTTTCTCGGCAATCCACATCTCCGCCTGAGAGAGCACCAGGTGTCAGGGGCGGAGAAGGATGATATGGGATGCTACGGCGTAAATAATCAACGTTGAATGCAGCGGCACACTGGATTCGATTATGCCAGATATTTATTCCAATTGGTAAAAAAGGTTTAGTTATATTCTGGCAGGAAAAAGTATGTATGAAGACTAACCAGCAACCAGCTTAGTACGGTGCGAAGTCGGTTCAACTCACCTCCATGCAGTCCCTGAGGAACTGGACGTGCAGCAGCGAGTCGTTGAGGCCGCGGCGCCGCTCCGCAGCCAGGTCGCTGACCTTCTTCCTCCGTGTCACACACTCGTCCAACCTAGAAGACGGGGCCGGACAGGGATATCAGTACAGATGTTAACTGGGATCCCACAGCAAACTAGACCCATTTAGGCCATAACACTCACCATTCGTCACGTTATCATTACCGCTGATCTCACCTCTGTTTGATCTCCGGGCTGCGGAAGTGGTTCTGCTGCAGCAGCTTGCTGCCGTGCTCGCTCAGCTGCTGTAGCCGGTCGTTCTGCACTCCCACCAGCCGGTCCAGCGCCTCCTGACGGCGCACCTCGGCCTCCACAGAATCCACCGTGCTGCCAAACTCGGCCTTCGACAGCGCCGCCTGCACGGACGGTGACAAGAATTAGTACTGAATAAGTCCGCGTCACTCGACACCGACCTATGCAGAGTCTGGGACTATCCGGTAATGACTTAGGAAAAACAATGCTGTAGCATGTGTATGTGTATGCCAATCAGTAACCACATCTATCGTTGACTGTATTATCAAAATCGATCGTTACTCAGCCAGCTCCTTAAAGTCAAACGTCACAGCGTCCAAATACCGCCACCCCCCCCCCCCGCCGTCGATCCCTCACACCACAGCTGATTCCCTCCCATGACCCCAGTGAAGGGCTCCGCGCCCACCCACCTCCTGCTGGCCGCTGGCCGAGTCCAGGTTCTTGGCGTACTCGATCACTCCCACCCCAGCCGCTGTTAATAGCCTCCCCAGCCCAGCTGCTGTCTAACGGTCCCGGTCCCCCACGCACCTCCTGCTGGCCGCTGGCCGAGTCCAGGTTCTTGGCGTCGCGCAGGAAGAAGTGGTAGTCGATCAGCTGGTCCAGGTAGATCTTGCGCTGCTGCCAGGCGGCGTGTAGCTTCTTCCGCTCCTCCAACACCTGCTCCAGGCGCTCCTGCACCTCCTGAGGAGACAGGAGAGAAGGCGGGGTCAGCAGAACGGCACAGGGTGAGCCGGGACCCGGCGGTAGAGTGAAACCCCTATCTGCAGCTCAAGCGGTCGGCAAAGTGCAACGAGCATTAAGAAAAGCGCGACATTATTCGGAGTTACAGCGACCAACTGAAACTACTAACGACAGCAATCGAGCGAGATAACGACCGGTATAACATTTTTACGTTAATTTAGCTCCAGCGGACTCAGAACCAACACAATATAATAAGAACTCTAAACTCAGCTCGGCATTGCTATATAGCCGGAACTCCACACTAGCCCCAAGACTGACCTGAGCGGCGTAGTGCTGGTCCTGGATCATGGCGTCGGCCATCTGCACCAGTCCCGTAAAGTTCTCCTCTCGGGCCTCCACCTCCGCCTTCACTCGGTCGTGCTCGGTCTTGAGCGCCTGCGCGCTGGCCGCGTCCCTGACCGCCTCCTCGGTCATCATGCCGGCGCGTAGGTCACCGGACCAGGTCATCAGATCGCGGCCCTGGAACAGAGCGACAGGTCAGGGCACTGGGAGACTCAGTGGATCATCATACCGGAGCGCAGGTCACCGGACCAGGTCATCAGATCGCGGCCCTGGAACCGTGAGCGACAGGTCAGCACGCGCAGGTCACCGGACCAGGTCATCAGGTCGCGGCCCTGGGGAGGTGAGCGGCGGGTCAGCGCGATAGGTCACCGGACCAGGTCATCAGATCGCGGCACTGAGGAGGTGAGCGACGCGTTAGCGCGATAGGTCACTCATTGGGTCATCATACCAGCGCGCAGGTCACCGGACCAGGTCATCAGATCGCGGCCCTGGGGAGGTGGACGGTGAGTCAGCACACTGGAAAACTCAGCCGATCAGTATAAGTGCTTCTAAAAATGGCCACCGCGGTTCCTATCTGACACTCTCAGTACAGACCCGATTTATGTGCCGACGGAACATGGCGGGACGGAGCTGCCCTGCGTGAGGAACCCCTGCCGCAGCTCTAGACGGTACCTATTTACTAACCTGCGTGAGGAATCGCTGCAGCTCCAGGCTGGCCTGCAGCTCCTCCTTGCGCTGGGCGGCGCGCTGGTGCAGCTGGTCCCAGCTGGTGACCACCAAACGCTGCTGGTCGGCGATGTGCTCGGCGTTGGTCGGGTACGACTCCTGCAGCCGCGCAGAGTCGTTCACCAGAACCTGTCACACACAGAGATGGTCAGACGGGTCGGGTACGACTCCTGCAGCCGCGCAGAGTCGTTCACCAGCACCTGGCGTAAATACAAATACACAGAGATTGTCAGGCAGGAACATATTAACTGATGTGAGTTGATTAACTGATTAACTCAAAGTAGATTCCGAGTTACGGCTCGCACTGGTTTCACCCCCAGCCGTGAGTCAGACCCAGCCACGTCCCCATCCAGCAGAGGATCACCGCCAATTCTCACCTGAAGCTGCGCCTCCAGGGCGACCAGGTCGTTCTCGAAGCCCTCGTGTCGTCGGATCAGGGCGTGGACGGCCTGCAGACTGCGGCCCAGGTCGTCCGGAATCTGCGCGTACTTCTCCTGATGACCAGACGACGTACAATAAGTCAGGAATGGATGGACAGAAGTGCGAGCACAGTCCGCTGGCGCCATCATCAGTATCACGTATGACTCAATTAGAGGTTGGTCGGAAGAATATACGCTCCATTACGAACAGAACAAAACGTGAACGACGACTATAACACAGGACATCCTGCATAAATGAGGCGTCCCTGAATCCCTTCCAATTTATTTTGCATGGCCATTGGTCATGCCAACTCTCGTAGCGCGCCAGGTTCCAATCTCAACAGCCGCTATCTTCCTGACCTATACGCGTACCGCAAGAGCCGCCCTTGAGCCACCCCCTATCCTGTCCTTGCCAAGTCTCTGACTTGGCTGACCTGAATCCTTTGGAGGGCCTCTGCGACGTCCCTGTTGAATCTGTGCAGCTCTCCGGCGGCCGTCAGCTTCTCCTCGCGTGCGTCCATCATCTCCAGCAGCTGCACCCACTGGCCCCTGATTCGGAGGGAAGAGGACACTGTCAGCAGCTGCACCCACTGGCCCCTGATTCGGAGGGAAGAGCGGAATGACGGCGTCAGGGGGACGGTGGCAGCCAGTTGGCAGGAACGGTCGGTGATTCTTTTGGATGGTGCTAACAAAATGATGACGGCGAACGAATGTAAATACACATATAACGTAACTAATGTAACTAACTAAATGGCAATCGAGAGCGGAATCTTCATTGGCTGCAAATGCACCTTCTACTCATACCTCGCGTAATAAACCGGCAGTTAAAAGGCAGCCATACGGAGCACCCTGGCCCGGTTCATCAGTCTCAGTGGACGGAATATAACGTACGCCATCTGATTATGCGGAATTAGCTGCGCACCAAAACCGGCGAGACTGGCAGTTTGTCAGACAGTTTGTCGGCCCCCCGCAACTGGCATTGCAGGGGGGGGGGGGGGGGGGGGGCGACGGATGGACACAGCGCGCGGGGACGAAACACAAGGCGTCAGTGATGTCTGTCGCAGGCAACGGCGACGAAACGGCAGCGCAAGCGACACACTGGCGGTATGTAATCCACGTTCTCAGTGCTATAAGCATACCTATCATGTGTTTTACGCAAACATACCGTCCCGGTTCACCTTCTTCCGTGACATCAATGGAAAGTCATTTATCTTATAAGTACAATTCACCAGCACCCCATTTCTTAGCTAAACGCAATAAATCCGGCCCCACAACACCACTTTTGTTCCCGGACACCAAACACATTATGTGAATTGGTGACTGGTGTTCATATGTGCAGCTAACTACTTAGTGGCGGTGGTGGGACAGAACAACGGTGAAAAGATTCACTGACGTGACTAGCTACACTATGACCGTGACTTCAGAGTACGATAAATGTGCATTGTGCGGAATAAATCTTACCAATCACGATAATACTGTCGCACATACCCCAAGTGATTGCTGCAGTTCATGTCCCTCTATTTACAATGTGTTGTGCGCACAAAACATGATGCCACTTGCCAGAAAGACCTGTTGATAATTGCACTTGCTTTCAGTGAGTAAAATACATGCATATGCTACGCTAGTGCGACGCCACTGGAGGCAAACTTGTTCTTCAGAAACCGAAAACGTCATGCTAAGTGGCGAAAACAACAAAATACTCCAAACCATGCATATCATCAACCATCAAAACCGTTTTAAACAATAAAAACACACAGACAAGAAGTAGAATCTACAGAAGCAGCAATAGTAACAGCGTCAGCAGCCAGAGTTGAACATCACCTGCACCTGAAAACCGTCCAGAAGCGAGCGGTATGAACAGCGGCAGAAGCGTGACGAGCTGCGCTCCGCAGAGGCGGCACACAGCAGCTGCGGGCGGGCTGCACACACTGGCGGCGTCTTACCTGACCACCTCGTGCCGCTTGGCCACGTCCTGGGCATCCTCATTGCGGCCCGGCCTGTCAGTCACACCCCGGCGGGGAGAGGGACGGAGACGGAGAGAGAGAGAGGGAGAGAGTCACAGCGCGCCCACCACACGCCACCGCGGCCCGCCAGATGGGTTAGCGGCCGCACAGCCCGCCAGAGACAGAGGGACGGAGGCGGTTAGAGGGGAGAGAGCACAGATGTACCGAGAAAACATTCAGAAAGGAAAACAACCAGCGGGGTTAATACAGAACATAAATCAAGGTTAAAAGATGGGTTGCACAAAAGTATATTCGAAAAATAGCTTTACGAAGGTGAAGGTGAAATATTAAATGATAAAATAAGAGTAAAAAAATGGGTATCCAACAGGACGCTGCAAGGATTTCTCATCACTATCATATCTCTAATCTAACACCAACCGCGAGAGCCGATCTGGACATGCATTCGCGCCGATCTATTCAATAGGGGTCTAACTAAACAAATCATATAAGTACTGCACAATATACTTGCAAAACTACGAGCAAGTCGACCTACTTCGCATCCCTACACAAGCTCAACAATACGCTCGCAAATCAATCTATGAAAATCATGGCTCGCTACATCTCTCAGCTACAAGAGACACCGAAAAGTATATAAAATTACTGTTTTCTAAAACAAAAAATAATGATTTTCTCATCGTCATCCACCTCTGCACCTGTGTGTTGGTCTCGGCCTGGTCCCGGTCCCGGTCCCGGTCTGGTCTCTCGGTCCCGGTCTCACCTGAGCTGGTCCTGACGGCGGTCCATGTCAGCAGCGTACGGGTTCTCGTTGGCAATCAGCTTCTTGGCCAGCTCGTCGCACTGGTTGAAGCGCTCTGAGCCCGCCTCGACGCGATGCTTCAGGTCCTCGAACTTGTTACGGAGCAGCTGCAGAAGCGAGCGAGCGGCTGACAGTGTCAAAGAGGTGGACATTGGACACGATAGACTTATGACGGAGATGGAGCAACGATACTAGGCGAAAACTGAGGTGAGCGACCACATTGAAAACAACGGTGAAATCATGTAATAAGGCATGACTGCACACGGAGATTTTCTAAGTCATCTCAAAGTCGACAGTCAACGTCAAAAACACCGTTTTCCTCTATATCGAAATAAACAGTCAGCTCACGTTTACATCTAGTGTTTGCAGTTTTATAATTCCGCAGCCTCCAGTCCCACTCCCGACTCTGTTCTCACCAGCAGGTGCTCGAAGTCTGTGCCGTAGTCCTCGCTGGCAGCCGTCTGCAGCTGCTCGGCGATCCAGCGCTCCAGGTCGTCACTCTCTCGGAAATACTCGTGCCGATGTTTGCTGTCCATCAGTCGCTGGCGGCGCTGGGTGGCCAGCCGCTGGGTGTCCTGTGGGGCGGGCAGGTCGAGAACGTCACATACAGGTTACAGTGGGGATTACTGAGTGGCCAGGCGCTGGGTGTCCTGTGGGGCGGGCAGGTCGGAAGAGTTACAGTCAGGATACAATGGAGAGCGGACTGGTGAAATACGGTAAGTAAAATTATAGTTATTGCAAGTGATCAGACGGTCAGTTGGATTCGCAAACATTACATTTATTTTGAAATCGGCTGCCCTTCGAATTTTCAGGTGTCGAGTTACAGACGCTGTGAGCACTTTGAGCTCTGTCCAGGCAGCAGCCCTTGAGACGATTATCACCCCATAATTATCGGTGTTCGCACGTCACCTTGAGCTGCTGGTTGATGAGCTGCTGCCGCTGCTGGATCATCTTGGCGTCGGGGTGGCTGGCCTTGACCATGGCGTCTCCGACGGAGCTCATCTCTTTCACCAGGCCGGCGTACGAGTCCAGCTCCAGCTCCAGCGCCTGTCAGCAGATGTGAGAGTCAGTGGATTGAGTCAGACAGAGCCAGGACGGGTGGGAACTTCGCGAGATACTTACTTCACAGGCGGATGAACCTTGCGCAGTAAAAAAGTATCACAAAATTGCAGCGCAAAACACAAAATTATTCATCAACAGCCGCAGCATGCCATCGTCGCGCTCAAACAAGCCGGTCGAAGTACGATCACATCATACTTGGGAATGGGAGCTATCCATAAAGACAAATCATCCCGCCTGCAGCTCTGTGACATCTCGCGAGTCCCTAACAACTTTAGACCATCTCCGCCAAACCCATTCACCGACCTTGTGTTTGGTGAGCAGTTTGACGGCGGCGTCCTCGTCCTTGCCGAAGTCGCTGCCGGTCAGCACGTTGGTCTTCTCGGCCATCCAGCTCTCCACCTCGTCGGCGTCTGCGAAGAAGCGCTGGGCGGCCAGGTTGAGCTGGAGCCGGCCGGCGCGTCGCGCCGCCGCCGAGTGCAGGTCGTCCCAGGCCGTCTGCAGCTGACGGCAACGCTCCACGATCTGAAACGGGAAAAGGATAACAGTCTTCATTTCCATTCCCACATTCACAGGTCAAAGCGCGGACACGTCAGACATTTAGGCTTTCAGTCCTATTAACCCGCGCCCCAGTGGCGGTCTCCGCCAACTTCGCCCTAGTGAGGGGGGGCATATGTTACCACCCACCTCTAACTCAAAAACTAAGAGGGCTAGAAAGACGCGGTGAAAAGCAGTCGATAGCTCTTGATGGGCACGTTTGAAAGTATTTCGGTCATTTTTCATCTTAGAGCAATATTGGGGTCACCAGAGGTCATCAAAGGTCAAAATTTGCGAATTGTCATTATATTTTTCAGAAAACATGCCATTATCTCAGGAACTATGATAGCTAGAAAAACGCTGGGAAAAGCAATCGATAGCTTTTGAACTCTTCTTTTGATAAGGTCATCATCAAAAATGACCTCAGGTCAACGGTTTAGCCTCCAGAGGGCAAAAACTCCAAAAATAGCTGTTTTTAAGAAAAGTGTTTTTCGTCAATAACTTTTGACTAAAAAAAGCTAGGTCATTTCTAATGCCAGAATCGTGTTCCTCTCGCCGAGGCGCGTCGAATGAACTATAAGTTGACCTTGAAAGGTCAACTTCAAAATTTGACCTCAGGTCAAGGTCATGACCTGACCGAAAAAGGTCATGTTGCATATCAGTCGATGCGTCTCGGCAAGAAAAACACAATGAGGCCAACCCCAGCGTTCTATCTCTTTCCAATCGAGAGTTATTGGCAAAAAACTGTTTGTAGCCTCAAATGACCTCGGATGACCTTTCAAGAGGCTATCAGCAAAAAAGACACCTTGGTCGTCACGGGTGGTCCAAATCATTGTTTTCCTGAAATATTTGGACTGTTCCTATGCGTACACGCGGATGTAGAGGCATTTTCGTTTTTCTCCATTGACTTATAATGGAAAGGTCACGCCACTGACCTGACCTTAGGTCACGCATATAAAAAATCCGAGATATACAAATTGTAGGCACCTAAAACATCATGTAATCCACCTAGTTTGAAACCTCTCTGACAAACACTGCAGGCTGGACATGATTGCAAACTTTTTTTTAGGCTTGGTCAGTTAACTTGACCTAGTGACCTGACCTGACATGACCTGGGGTCAAAAATTTCACATATTGTCCAAAATTGATGTATAAAAAGCTACTCCAAGCGGCGCGGCGCTACGCGCCGCGGTTTTTTATTTATACGAAAAAACGCGACAGGGTGGTAACATATGCCCCCCCCCCACTGGGGCGAAGGTTAAAAAAAAACAGAAGAGAGTCGGGACAGTGAGCAAAGATTTCGTTACATACTGCAGCCACTATTCTAAAATAGCATCAGATTAGCCGGTACCCAAGCATCCCCGCGACCTCTCCCTAGCCTCTCACCTCGTCCTTGTTGGGCCGTTTCTCGGCGGCTAGCGCGGTGCCCGTCTGAATGGCCTTCTCTATGACCGGTTTGTGGCCGCGCAGCTCAGCCTCCAGCTTGGCGTGCTTCTTGCTCAGACTCTGGGCCTCGTGTAGTGTCTGACCCAGCGCTGGAGGTAGAGGGGCAGAGGGGGAAAATAAGGTCAGAGGACTGTTACCGTACACCGTACACTACCACGCCGACCTGACCGAGACGCACCATCGAAATGAGCCAGAGTTGAAGAAAAAACAGCTAACAGCAGAGCAGCTGACGCAGCTCAGAGACGATCGTTTGATCGGTCATCCCTCACACTAAGCAGCCAACACTGTAGGACATGTGGGACAGACACTGAGTCCCCACCAATGCACTTACTCTCGGAGTTGGCGGCCGGCTGGTGCTCAGCGATCCACTGTAGCTCGGCGTCCAGACCGGCCACGAACTCGTGGTAGCGCAGTGCCTCCTCCAGCGCGCGCCGCCGCTCGGCCATCGGGTCCTTCAGCTCACCGAACCTGAGGCGGGAAGGTAGGACCGTCAGATAAGGACGGACGATTGGAAAAGGGAGAGTAGGGGCAACGGAGGTCAAACGACCAGTGACGTCCATGATTCACATATTCCATGAGTATTGTCAGATATCCATGAGCTCTGGAGAATTTGTAAGCGCCTAGACCCCGTCACTGACCTGGCCTGGACGGCGTTACACTGGGCCAGGATGTTCTCGGCGTCAAAGTGGCCCTCCTGTGCCATCTCCTGACCGGCGTTCACCAGCTCGTTCACTTTGTCTTCGAACATGCCCACCTCCACCTCCAGGGCCTGAGACAGCAGCGAAACGTGTCACTACAAGAGGAACGTTCCCTAAGACGGCATGAATTTATAGCACGATTTATGAATTGCATAACGTCAACAGTGGTGGTGAAAATAGAATCGCAAATACACATGTACATGACTTTCAAAGCGCAAGACGTATTTTCTTAGCGTCAATAAATTCACCAGGTTCTATTCAACGCTCTATCGGCTGTCGCCGCACACAGCTCCACCCGTACCTGGTGTTTTTTGAGCTGCTGTTTGCAGCTGCGCAGGTCGTTGCCGAGGTCCTTGGACTGCAGCGCGCGGCCCAGCTCGTCCAGTTTGGCGCGCGCGCCGTCCAGCGTGCGGTTGTGGTCGTGCAGCGCGGCCGCCTGTCGCAGGTTGGCGCCGCGCTCGGCCGTCAGGCGGCACAGCTCCTCCCAGGCGGCGTTCAGCTCCGAGAGAGTGGCCTCGATGGCCGGCGTCTGGTAGTGGCCGCGAGACGCCAGCTCCTGGCCCACCTGCAAGGGACGAGCGAGACAGGGGACAAGGTCAAAACTCGGGTATTGGGATATCAACAATGTTCACAATTAAAATTGTGGGGTACCAAATGAGCCATGATCAACGTAATACAGCAGAAACACAGTGGCCGAAGTAGGTATTCAGTCAGCTACCTTATGATCCTATTCACTTTGACCGCGCTACCCACCTTGTTGAGTTTCCTGAGTCGTCCCTCGTTGGCCCTCAGCTCTCGCTCGAACGCCTCGTGTCGCTGCAGCTTCCGCTCGAGGTTGCTGAGGTCGCGGTAGTTGTCGTCAGCGGCCGAGCGCGACTTGTCTGCCATCCAGTCTCGCAGCTCGTCGCAGTCTGCGCGGAACTCGTAGTAGGCCTGTGCGGCCAGCAGCTGCTGGTGTCGCTCGGCCGCCCGCTCGCGGGTCTCCTGCCGGCGCGCCAGCACCTGGTCCCGACGGGCAGAGATGCTGCGCAGAGGAGCGGGAGGAGGGAGGTCAGAGAGACGTCAGAACGATCAGGCCAGAGTGGTCCGGGCGAGTGGGTCAGATAATTACCGCCCACATAGAATCAACGTATGGTAACGTCATTTGTAAGTTCCAACCATAAATCCACGAGCCCAGGGATGCAACCAGAAATCCACGGATGCTTATTAACCTAGATCTAAATCAAACGTCATATTCTTGCATTTATGGCGATTTGGTTAACCTTACAACTTAAGAATGTTCAAAACACTTCAAGCTCTGATTCCGGTGAGCTCGGTACTGACTTTTCGGCGTCGTAGTGTTTGGCGGCCACCAGCCGGTCGGCGGTGTCGCTGAACGCCTTCAGACGCTCGTCCTGAGCGGCCAGCGTGTTCTCAAAGTCCTCGTGGCGCTTGATCAGACGCTCCACGGCGTCCAAAGAGTCCTGTGAGAAGATGGTGGTAGCGCGGGTTAGTTCACAGTTCGGGCACATTTTGCATAGGCACTCAAACAACTCGACCGGGCCCAGCCTCGTAACCCTCGGCCTAAATTCACTGATGGGTGATGCTCTGGATAGACAGGCGTTTTTCCTATGGACAAATGAGTGCGACTCATTAAAACGTTGTAACTCCCTCAAAATCTAAAACGTGTTTCTTTGAGGACTGACGGCAAGCCTGGAAACCTCCACCCTAAACCACCTAACGACATCCGGTCAATCTATATCCCTCCCGTCGTCACTCACGCCGAGGTCGGTGAGCTCGATGAACTTTTGGTGTCCGCCGGTGATGGCGTCCATCTGATCGGCCTCGCGGTTGAACAGCTGCAGGTCGCGCAGCTGGTGCAGCCAGGCGTCCTTCTCCTGCCAGCCGCGGTGGACGGCTCGCTGCTCCTCAGACAGACGCTGGGATAGCTCGCGCACAGGCTTTGACTCGCCGCCGCTCTTCTTCAGCAGCTTGTTACCGAGCTCCGTTAGCTCGGCGAACCTGGGGGAGAGCGGGAGAAACACGTCAGAACGGTGAGTGGGGCGCGACAGACCGCGGAGCCCGGCGAGGATCGATAACATGAAGCGTCAGAGTGTCATAGTGTCAATTTGAGCGTTACAGAGACATGAATTTACTTAATGCTTGTCATTCATCCTTTACATATAAAACACACAATTCATGGTGTTGACTGCTTGAAGTTTCGCCACTCTCAGCTATTTGCAACTTCTCGGCACACGTAAAATTGCTATTAGAAAATTCCTCCCAACGTTCCCCAGTCACTGAGCGCCCGTGCGGTTCCCGTGGTGTCACTGACTCGTCCTGGTGGGCGCGGATGTCGTCGCCGAGGTCCTGGTGCGTCTTGAGCAGCGTCTCGGCAGTGTGCACGTCCGAGGCGGCGGCGGTGGCGTTCAGGTTGGCCTTCACCTCGTCCACCCAGGCCAGCTGGGGACGGCAGAACAGACGGGGTCAGGACGTAATGCCCATAAAACTGATAACGATGATGAGCAATCGATGTGATCTGAGAATGATTGCGGAAATTAGCGCGGTAGTGATCATTCACAAAGAATATCATTATTGATGACATCGATCTTAATTAAAAGACTTAGGGTGCCATATCTTATTTGATTACTCAAACATATCTTAAAATATGTTACACAACTACCTCTGTGCATATTACTACCATCCCCGCCCGTGCATTGCCACTAACCAGATTCTGCGCCTGGTTGATGAAGATCTGCGTGCCGACGGCGTCCTCGAGTCGGGCGCGCCGCTGCAGCGCCTTCTCCCGCACCTTGTCCCACAGCGAGTTCACCTCCTTCTGGCGCGAGGTGACGTTCGCCAGCTCGTGCGGGTAGGACGCCTTCACTCTGAGAGCGTCAGCAGGGTGGCAGTTAGTTGGGACGGCAGAACAGCGCAATGGCATCGCACACGTATTGAAAAAAGGCAGCAAATATTTCCGAAACAAAACAATGCTTTGCGTACATCTGGAAACGTAAAACAAGCCGAGTAGGCATTACACTTGGAGCAAAGGACGCCTACATCACGGGCTTGCCGCATTGGAAATACCGTCGCATCGATACACAGTGAGTATAACTGAAAGACATCTGAAGAAGTCTGGAATCATACTCAGACGCCACGATCAGGATCCCTTCATCTACCCTGTTCAGTATTCCCATTCCCTAATCCCTACTCACGAGTTTCCGAGTGCGGCCACTCGTTTGACCTTCTCCTCGATGGGTGCCAGCTCTCGCTCCAGGTTATCGTGGCGCCGCTGGAGGGCCTGGATCGTCTTCAGGTCGGCGCCCAGGTACTCGTTCTCCATCTTGTCCATCTTCTCATTCATCCAGTCGGAGGCCTCCTCACAGGTGCGGCCAAACAGCTCCACACTGCACGGACGGGGGGGGGGGGTGAAAGCTCGGTGAAACGACACATTTCTAAGCCAGGCTTGCAACCAATTGAACGCAGTACGCCGTAAATGAGCGACAAGTCGATGTCATTTTTACGAAATTGTCTTGTACCATACAGCTCAGATAATTTTTGCAGGCCTTTTAGGTATTTATCAACATCTTTGTGAGAGGTTGTTGACCTCAGCCGTACATAGCGTGGGGTATATCGTACCTGGACGCTCCCTCGAGACTGCGCTCCTTCTGCTGTTTGAGCCGGTTCAGGTGGTCCCACAGCTGGTGGATCTGACGCTGGCGCTGCTTCACCTGCAGCACAGAACGTAGAACGTCAGGCGACTCCGAAATTTCTGTGATATGATATTTCTATATATTTTGCACGTCACCAATATTACACAGCAGGCCTAGTCAGCAACGCAAATCAGCATCAGCCGCATAAAAAGTAAAAGACGCCGCCATTACATACCTTGTCAATCTGTGTATTCTTTTCCTTCACGAAGTCGGACACCATTTCGTCGATAGTGTCAATACGCTTGGAGGCAGCAACCATATCCGTGAGGAATTTCTGCAAACAAAACGCAACGGTGTCAGAACACACCAGGGCCCAATCTTATAAAGGTTGTGCTACCAAATGGCGTACTATCATTCCACCCCACTCTATTTACGGCACCCTATTCACGCAATCTTATAAAGAGAATCGTATGGTAATTCTATTCACGCCATTTTGCCCACAGTACAAATCAACGCCAGCAGGAAACACGCAACGTGATTGGTCAATGTCTTGTCGCCGTCGCTATTGGAAATTATGCGTACTGTTTGCGAACAGCAAAAGTTATGTGTTTTAATTTTTATGGGGCATTTATTTCTTTTAGAGAAACACATATGTGTAATGAATAAGTTATTTATGGAAAACGTGATAGCAAACTATGGAAAACACAAACATGCTTGAAGAATTCTCCTGAAAAGTGGATTGCCGACCAAATAAATTTCAGCGAGGGCATTCTCGCGCTCAGAAATTCGAGTGAATAAAGTGTTTCTTCTACTTATCATTTGCATTTATTTGCTGTTAAGGCATTGCAATAAATTTGTTAAAGAATTATTTAAATTGTCATTTAATTATAGCTCGGCTACTGTTTCAGTAATTTAAGTAATGCCGTTGACAATGAAGCTCCTACAATTTGAGCATCAGGATACGTAGGTGCAATAACTGGATCAATTCAAGATATAGCTTATTTTCCTTCTTGTCATAAGCTCTTGACATTTTCATTCTTGAAGATAAACTACTAAAATTCGAAGACTACGTACATGAACTGAATTAGGTCAAGTTACAGCTTATTTTCCTTCTTATTCAAGCATAGGTACCTGTTACCTAACCTAAAGCTAAAAAGCAATTCCTCAAAAGATTGAAGAACCCAGTCTACATATCAAAGCATATCAAGAAAAATACTCGGCTCAGAAGTCAGATCGAGATGCAGGAAGAGAAACAACACGTTGATCCGTAACTGTGCCAGACAGAAAGTGAGGAGATACGAATAGTGAGTAGGAATTAACAATTTTTTGACAAACTAAGGTATATCATCATTAATTTAGATATCTAATCAGAAGCCATGAAGTGCCCGTTATTTGTGTCATACGTGAGACGTGAGAATAGGCTAAAGACCCATACCGATTCTATACTGCAGTGGCTGCCGAAAATCTATGATGGTTACTGGTGCTAAAATCCTCTTAAAAATCCCCTTTTAATTTGAAAAATAAATCCATATAACGATGAACACTCGTTTTTATGTGTTTTAGTGTGCATTTAGTTCCTGAAAATACATATTTTGAAATTGATCGTTGTCTGTATAATAGGCATCATTATAATAAACCATGAGTTAATATGTGGAGGATGTTTTAATCTTAAAAATATCATAACGTAAAATATTGCATACTTATATCATAAAAACATTGAATTTATCTTAAATGAATTAAACTGTCTGAGAAGCTCGTCAAAGTACGCCACAAATTCTGGCGTGAAATGGACGCCGCTGAAACCGCAAACAGCTGATGATTGTCGGTGTGTTGAGATGTGCACAGCTGCTCACGGTTAAAAGCATGCTAGGGCATCCTCAAAACCGGCGGCTACCAATGCTGTAGGGAGCGTGCCGTGTTTTCGATTTTACAGAGTTTTATAAGATTGCGTACTATATATCCAGCCTTAGAGTGCTGCCATATCCATTTCACGGCGTTTATAAGATTGGGCCCAGGGGAAGCGAAGTCACATTATGAAAGGCAGAGCTCCTTCAATCTCAACGGAAACAGTCTTACCAACCCTATTGGGGAGCTGCCGCGCAAGACACAAATAATAACAAAATACGTGAATTTGAGTAAATCAATGACACACAATGGAAGCATATTTCCGCAGGTGGCTCCCATTGTATCATACCTCGAAGGCGTGCTTGGCGGCCTCGACCGTCTGCGTGGGGTCCTCTGTTTTGAGGAACTTCTCCTTCTCTCGCATCCAGAGCTCGAAGTCGTTGCACTCCCTGTTGAACTGGAAGAGCCGGATGGCGTCCTGCAGGAGGGTGCGCCGCCGGTCGGCCAGCTGGCCCAGCTCGGCGTACGCAGACTGGATCGACTCGACGCGCTTCGAGATCAGCTGGTCCTCCTTCGGCTCTGTAAGGTGGAACGGGGTGTCAGTCAGGGCTCGTTGGCTAGTCAGGCGGCTGAACAAAGACTGAAAACGGTACTAACTAAAGAAACTATCCACAATGTCGGACAAAATGGACGCCACTTAACTATTACAAAGGTCCAAGGTCAGCACGCACACTACTTAAGTGAGCCCTCAGTGAGGCAGTTCACCCTCAAAGCACGGCCTTGACATCACCAAAAGTAATATATCTATTGGTGAAATCTCCCACTCACCGGCCGGGCGGGTCCGTTTCACGGGTACCGTCTGCCGCACCATCTTGGTCTTTTTAACCTTCTTGACGTCTCGCACCACCTCTGGCTTTTTGACCTTCATGGTGACGAGCTTGGGCTCAATTTCCTTGACGTAGTTGGCGGGCACGAAGCCGTCCTGACCGCTGGCCTTCCGCACGTTCCACCAGTCGTCGTTGGTCTGATTCAGCAGGAACATCACCTGTGGAGGCGAGCGAGGAGAGTCAAACCTGAGCCGTGAAATGCGGAACAGTGGTGGTTCTGCTATAGGTAGCAAAGACATTGCGTGAGAAAAAATTGCTATCCAGCCATTCCTTCGGTTCCATTAATTTGTTCGTGCCCATACATGTCCTCGCCAAAATTAACACATTTTAACTTCTCGATCATGTATCAATTTGGTATTTGCATGGTGCCGTTCACTAGTGACGTCAATATTTAAATAGGTAGTGACACAAGCTAGCAACAAACAGTCATATGTCAGTCACAACGTAGCCCCGAAAGCCACTCACCTCGCCCTTGACGACCTGCATGTCCTGTCCCTGGAAGGGGTAGAGCGCCTTGACCTGCGGGATCTGTCGCTCCTCGGTGACGATTCGGTACTCTGTGCGCTCGACGGGCTCATCCTCCCATACCTCCTTGGGTACGAGGCGCGTCTCCTGGGTCCACTCCTCCACCTCGGCCACCTCCGGCGCGCCAGACAGCTGAGGAGGGCAGGCGGAGCGGTCAGCAGTCAGCACACAGACAGCTAAGGAGGGCACGAGGCGCGTCTCCTGGGTCCACTCCTCCACCTCGGCCACCTCCGGAGCGCCAGACAGCTAGGGAGGCAGGGCGGAGCGGTCAGAACACAGACAGCTGTGGAGGGTGGACGGAGAGGTCAGGACACGGGAGCGAGAGGGGGAGGGCGAGCCAGTACTGACACGACTCTAGGTGGGCGCGGCGAACGACAGAGCCATAAACATTGTTATACCAGTCCACACAGTCCATGAATTAAGTGTCAATTTCATTACCATAATAATGCGAAAATTTTCTCAGTCACCGGTCACAAACACTCTAAATTGCCATCGAGAAAACGGCATCAAATCACACAAACATTACATCTTTGAACACCACCACGCATCCCCTCCCTCTTTCTCCGACCCCAACCTTTCACTCACGCTGAGTGATGTGATGCCGGCCTTTTGCAGTTTGTCGGCCTGCGCGGCCAGCGCGGTGATGTCGTCCTGATAGGCGTTGATCTCGCCCACGGTGTCCTTGTGGCGGGCGAGCAGCGAGGCTGCGCCCGGCTCGTCGGTGCCACAGTCGGTGGAAGACACCAGCGGACGCTTCTCCTTCAGCCACGACTCGGCCTCGTTGGCATCCGAGTAGAACTGGCGGCGGGGCGGGCGGGGAGGTTACGGGCGGAATTCGAGAGGCGACGGTGAGGTTCAGGGGGTGACGGTAAACGGGTAACGGCGGGCCGACAATGGTGGTACTGGTCGTCATGGGCGGAGATCGAGGATACCACACCGGCAATGCTGACTGTTGATGATGCTTGTTGATAGACGGCGAATCATGGAGCGATGAGCGGGCCAGCCAGGTTATGAACCTTGACAATGAAACGTCGCATAAATCCGAGAAGCCTCCAGGAGCAAACAATGATCTCATTGCTTCCGCACTCCCTCCCAAACATTACAGCTGTACTACCTTGCGATAATTACCTGGTAGGCCTCGGCCGCCTCGGCCAGCTGTCGCCGCCGCTGAGCAGCCAGCTCCTCCAGCTCGGCAAACTTCTGCTTCAGGCCATCGATCCTGATCAGGGGCGAATACAAACACGGTCAGTGTGGGGCAGCTCTGGGGGACTAATGCCGGCCAACCCGCCGCGCCGGCCGGACAGTCTGGGATGACCCGGATGAAGTGCCAAAATTTACTATTAGTCATTGAAAAGTTAGTTTGTGTCCACGAAACACTAATCGAGCATGTGGCTTGGAAAAGTCGGCAGTCACTTGATGGGTATTCCACTAGCTACCGAGAGCACAACTATCTGAAAAGGGCAGTCCTGCCACCCCGCACCGCGTTGCACCCACCTGGAGCGGATCTCGGCCTTTTGCGGGTGGTCGGCCTTTTCGAGCTCCTCGCCGGCGCGCGCGATCTTCTCCGTCTTGGGCCGCCGCACCCGCAGCTCGTCCTCCAGCGCCTGGCGGGGGGACACAGGGACGTCAGCGCGTGGAGCGGTATTCGACATCAATAGTGAACAGAAAGTGAGTACTGTGCATGGTTAGCAAATCACTGCGTAGATCAACAAGTCGTTTGTATAAAACAAATGCAATGTCTCACAACAAGTGGAAAAGTAAATCATGGAACGCCAGTTATAAATCGCCAGACATCGTGTTGTGAGACTAATGTTTTTTTTCTTCTTCTTTTGGGCAAAAGCGGTAACCACTGGTTTTCCCAAAGCAAATGACTAAAAAATGACCAGACGACTCAAATGTTCAATGGACACAAAAATTGTTCAAATGACAAATCACAGCAAAGAAATACGAGGCGCAGACATGAGATTATAGTAGCTTCCAAGCTTTGAACTAGCTACCGTAGGCGAGCCTTTAAAAGAAATAACATAGATCAGCTAAGCTGAAAAAGAGCACCTTGATAGTAAGCTATTATATACAGCTGCTGCACGTACACATAACATACAGGCTAGCAAATAATATACAGCTAAGAAATAGAACAAATATCGGCTGGCAGTATGTACAAGAGCAGATAGTTCAGTTGAGCTCTCAGAAGATGGACGTAACTGGCCGGTCCCTCAAGACATACCACACTTCTGTTATCGGCGCCGGCGTCGATCGGCGCTCGCCAGACCTGGCAGTTTAGTCACGGAGACGACTAGCGAGAAGAGCATGTAGCGCTGCGGGATGTGGAGGCGAACTGTTGAAAACAGGACCACCTCCTTCACGGGATGATAGTAGAACCAAAGAGCTGTGCCCTACCACCACCAGAAAGGCAAGCGTGCAACAACACGAGCCCGCCACCCGGCCTGCCCGTGGGCCGGGGGGGGGGGGGCGGAGAAGCGGCGGCGGACCACTGGCAGCTCGAGGGCCGCCGCCTGCTCACCTTGTATGGATTGTGGTTGCTGGCGGCGTCCTACGGTGGGTACCGGAGAGGGTTAGTTAGATCAGACCGGCCGCACATGCGGTTACACCGGCCGGCCGGCCGACCGGCGGCGACTACTGCCTGCGTGCCGGCGGGCTCGCTACTCGACACGGCATGCAGTGGTGAAACACACGGGTGTCGGGGCCAAGGCCCCCGGTGCGGCATAGGACAGTGAGCGACTATCAGACAGTGAGAGTGCACACAGCATGCAGGCATGTCAGATCAACAATCCAGCCAAACCTGTCCGTCCATTGTGTTCATCCCATGCTTCTACAGCCGTGCGAACTGCAATCAAACATGCTGTGCAATGTGCATTTATTACGAGCGAGCGAGCGCAGCGAGCGAAGTGAGTCTTTTCAATATAACGGAAAAATCTCAGTATGAGCGGCCCGGCCCGGCCCGGCCCGGCCTGTAACGCTTTTGAGAGGCTTATATCTCAGCAACCGCTGGACCGATTGGCCTGCGGTCTTTTTTGCTGGGTAGCCCCATCCCTTCTACCCCGTAATTGACTACTTTTGATACATCTCAGTGACCGTCGTGGCACGTGCCACGTGAAAAGTCAAGGGTGTTCAAACTGTTTTGCAAAAGTAGTTATTTTGAGAGGCTCATATCTCAGCAGCCGCTTGGGCGATTGACTTGCGGTAATTTTTATAGGGTAGCCGCATCCCTTCTACCAAAGGTCGGATACTCTTGATCTATGTGAGTGACCCCCAGTGCACGTGCAAAATACAACAATAAGAGGTGTCAAATTTGTTCCCATTTTAATAACTCGGTAATTACTGGGGCGATTTCGCTGAAACTTGGCACACAGGTAGGCACTCACCAGGCAATGCATTCCCATGTGTTGCGGTTAGGGTGCTACTGCACGTGCGCACGTGCAGGGGGCGTTTTCAGATCTCGAGAACGGCTGGGCCGATTGCGCTCAAATTTGGTACACGGTTGGGGACCAGTTAGTAGGGTGCCGTGCAGAAGTCAGTTTGGACCCCGTTCGCACGTGCGCACGTGCAGAATGCCGCTTCCAGATCTCAGGAACGGCTGGGCCGATTGCGTTCAAATTTGGTACACCGCTAGCGACCGGTTAGAAGGGTGCTTTGCGCAAGCCCGTTGGAAGTACCCTCTCGCCCTTCCGCACGTGCAGGGCTCACTATCTCGCTCGCTCGTTCTTCGCCCAAAAGGCGTTTTACTGGTATGTATCCTTTTCCATCGAGAGTTGTGAAAATCCCATGCTACTCATAAATGCTACTCATGTAGCTGCACTCATATTGTGCCAGGCAAATGATCACATGGCAGACAAATTAGCCTCTCATTCAGTGTTCATCCTCCAAAATGATCATCACTCACAACCCGGTAAATATTCCCCACATGCACTACATAATCTACCCCATGTCACCACCTCCCATATACCTCGTGTCCGTTGGTGTGTGCCCAAGCGCCCCCCCCCCCCCCGGCAGCCTCCCCTACCTTGTGTTTCTGCTGCATTGCCAGCACGGCGCGCAGGTCTTTGGCGGTGATGCCGGCTGTGCAGATGCGCTGCTTCTCGACCAGCCAGGCCTCCTCGTCCTCACAGTCCTGGACGAACTGCAGGTAGGAGCGCCACTCGTCCAGACGGTCGCTGCGCCGGCCCGACTCGTCCACCAGGCTAGACGCGGAGGGAGGGGGGAGGGTTAGCAGAATGGCGACATCTCGGCACACTGCATTACTCGTAGGGCTACCGAATGCTCACACTCTGCTACGAGTCTACGAGGTTGGCGACTCATGAATCGATATATTCCTTAACTTACTAAGAATGTTCAGGGCTACCTACCATACTCCCTGAGTCGATAACTTTTTATTCAGTCTGGACGTAAAAGATCAAAACATGCACGTTAATCGGAGGTCAAATACTAAACATCAGCAGCACAAGTGGACAACACTCCCTGAAGTGAAACATAACTCACAGCATCCATCGCATCTCCCTCCCCGAGCAGCCACCTGCTTCCACCCTCTCCGCGTCACACTTTGCCCAGCCCCAGCCCCGTTCCCCCGGTCACGTACTGTTTGTACTCGTCGTTGAGGGTCTGCAGCCGCTTCTGTAGTGCCGGCGTCTCACGGTGTCCGGCCGCGATGAACTGGTTGGCCTGCTTGTTGAGCCGCTGGATCGTCTCACCCACGCTGCTGATCTGAGACTCCATCAGACTGTGCTTCTGGATGAGGTCCTCGGCGGCCAGTAGGTGGGACGCGCCCGCCTCAGACGTCACCTGGCCCTGACGGCGGCAGAGGGGGGAGTTACAGAGTAAGAGGGGCTCGAGTCGCGCAAGCAAATCGCACACATTAGGACAGCCGAGCAATGTCTAAATAGCATGCTTCCGAAGTTTGAGTTTAACATTCCCAATGATGAACTCGAGATTTGAATGCTTATCAACATGCTAGGCTCACGGCCAAACTTCGTTGAATTTCAATTTTCAATATGAAAATGCCATAACGGCACAGATCTCCAGCATATCGGAAAGCTCTGCCCTCTCTGTGAAGCCGTCCGCCGTCCACCGCTACCGTACCTCCATCTCCTTGATGGCGGCCAGCACGGTGTCGATCTCGCGCAGCATGGTCATCAGGCTGGAGAAGTTGGCCAGCGTCTGTTTGTGCCGGTCGAGCAGCGACAGCAGGTGCTGCCACCTCTCGGTGACCTCCTGCTCTCTGGCGCGCACCCGCGCCGCGCCGTGGTAGTTCTCCCGCTCCAGCTCGTCGGCCATACTGACCAGGTCGGCGAACCGCTCCCGCTGTGTCAGGGGGAGGGTCAGGGGTCAGGTCACGGCGGCAGAGGCGAGGTCACACACCGTCAAAGGTCAGGTCACTACAGACGTTTGGTCATACAGAACAGAGGTCAGGTCACAGTGGCATAGGTTAGGTCACACGATCAGAGAGACCAGAATTCAGAAAAGAATTTACAGGTCTGTCAGACCGAGCTGAGTCTCAATGAGTTTCGGCAGAAATGTGAGGCTACGACACTCAGCACGATAATTGAGTAAGACAAATCAACACGAGAGATAGCCCGGCAGCTGCACGCTGTAAGCAAGCTACGTCACTTCGAATTACAACATCGCGTTGAACCCAAATACATATCTTCTTCGAGATGACTATCAGTACGAGCCATGGATTACCACAAAAAACACCGCTAATATCACTAATGACTCACGACATCAGTGTAAAGGCAATGGAACTACGTGATTATCGGGACACTGGAATTCGACGAGTCACAATTCATTAGAATTCACGGCACAACACAGTTTATCAATCGAATCAATAGAGGCCCACAGAGGTCAAACACTGAACAATGCACAATGGACAATAATAGTTCTCGTTTATGGCTTCCTGTAACTAACGCTGAATGGAAAATTCAGTCATAAATCAATGTCGGACCAATAAATAAATAAAGTTACTGGAACAAAGTGTTCTGACTTCTGACCACCGCTTGAGAACACTATCATCTAATCCGTACTGAACCATTATCAAAACCGACAATAACAGCACAGCTCATGGTGCAAGTTGACGCAATACCTGGGTGGTGGTGACCCGTCCGACCCGGACCCGGACCACACTCAAACCCTGACCGAGCGGACTCGGACCCAGACCGAATCCGGGCAGTCCGTCAGTCACCCACCCTAGCCAGGATGTCGGCGCTGATGGCCTCATGTTTCTTCACGGTCGCCTCCACCTGGGTGAGGTTGCTGCCGTAGCGCGGGTCGGACAGCACCTGAATCATCTCCTTCAGGTATCCCTCGCGCAGCACGCCCTGGGGAGAGGGTACAGGTTAGGTCAGCACACCCTGCGGAGAGGTCACAGGTCAGGTTAGGACATCATAGGGACAGTTCACAAGTTAAGTCACGGGATCATTCGGGTAGGTACCCAACGCGCAGTTTATTTATTTATAGGGTCGGTGACGATAGTCAAGTCAGCTGGACTGATCTTAGAATCATGAGCAAAGTAATTACGCCTTTCATAGCCATTATTGGATATTCGTCAGATTATGTAGAAGTTCACCTCGCTAAGGTTTACATACCTAACCACAGTCGAGAGGTAGAGCGTAAATCGGACTCTACCATTACCAGGGACACGCTTCAACACAGCACACAAGTGCTGACAGGGCTCTTGACTTTCAGGAGGTTATCTGGCACTTGTCTGGTTCATTCAAGAATGAAGGTGCCCTTAATTTGTTCACCTGACTCACCACCACTCGTCACCCATTGACAGATCAGATTCAGCATTGATAGCGTTATTAAGCTTGACAGTCATGTGCTTAATATACTGACAATGTCGTTGTTCACAGCTATAACAAGCAGATAACCCCGCCAATCTACTCACTCCGATCATCCACCTCTAGATTTTTATTCACTTATCTTCGCTTTCCTACCTCTTCCATCTCCTCTCCTCCATCGCCTCTCTAGCTCTTCCCTCATCTCTCCTCCCTCCACTCTCTCCCCACCATCACTCACCTTCCGTTCGAACTTGTAGGCGAGCTGTTCGAGCCGCTCCTGGCGCTGCAGCTCCGCCCTCAGGGCCACCTCCCTCGAGTGTTCGGCCTTCTCCAGCTGGGTCCACGTACGCTCGATGTCGTGCAGCAGCTTCCCCTCGGGCGGCGAGAACGCCGGCTTGTTGAGCGCCTTCAGCTTGGTGTTGATGTCAAAGTACAGCGCCTCGATCTCGCTCCGCTCGCGGAACCTGCGGGGAGAGGAAGAGCAGGATTGGTCAGGTCCTGGCTGGAACTTCTACCGCAGGTTGGGACTCATCAAATCAGCGCAAGGGGAGCGTACAGGGTTCGGGTTGGAACATTTATTCAGGAGATGGAACAGCATAGCATTGTCCTCGTGAAAATAATGATTGTCAAAGTATGTAGCATTTGATACCCTGCGATCACAGGATGCGTGATACAATGCTTCAGGCATCTGGCTTGAAGTTCGCACCAGATAACATAATCTCAGACACAATAAAGCTGTCAGCGCTCATAGATGGGCGAAGTACATACACCCCTTCAAAGTCAGACACTATCTACAAAGCAGACAATTGTTTCAGATATAGCCCTGAAATCAGGCCCACCGTTGTCCAACCGCAGGCAGGAGGTCATTTACACTTATAAGTCATTTACACTTCTAACTGTCTCTCTGAGCCGAGCGCGGGGTTTCGAAAGGGAATTACCCCAGACACAAAAACAGCCACTGTCATCTGCTTACTTGGGCGGCTTCTCCTCTGTGCGGTAGCTCTTGAACTTGAGCAGCTCCTTCTGGATTCCCTCGAGCGAGTTGGGGAAGTCTCGGTCCTCGAGCACGGAGACCTTCATCAGGATCCACTCGAGCAGCGAGGTGGTGAGCACGTTGTAGCGCTCCTGGGAGCGGTCCACCTCCATCATTTGGCCCACCAGCTGCGGAAGGAACAGGCGGGCGGACGTCAGGGAGGGCACAGACGGGCAGACGTTAGGGAGGGCATAGCGGCACAGACGGGCAGACGTGAGGGCAGGGTACAGCGGGCAGACGTCAGGGAGGGCACAGCGGCATAGACGGGCAGACGTTAGGGCAGGGCACAGCGGCACACACGCGCAGACGTGAGGGCAGGGCACAGCGGCATAGACGGGCAGGCGTCAGGGAAGGCACAGACGGGCGGACGTTAGGGAGGGCACAGCGGTACAGAAGGGCAGACGTGAGGGAGGGCACAGCGGCACACACGGGCAGACGTTAGGGCATGGTACAGCGGCACACACGGGCAGACGTTAGAGAGGGCACAGCGGCACACACGGGCAGACGTTAGAGAGGGCACAGCGGCACAGACGGGCAGACGTTAGGTCAGGGCACAGCGGCATAGACGGGCAGACGTTAGGGCATGGTACAGCGGCATAGACGGGCAGACGTCAGGGAGGGCACAGCGGCACACATGGGCGAACGTTAGGGAGGGCACAGCGGCACACAAGGGCACACGTGACGGCAGGGTATGGCGCGGTTCAGAGCCTCAGGCAAACAGGGGCATCGTTTCATCGGCTAAAACCTGAGCTCGTCGGCTCCACGAGTGGTCATTTTTTATTTAAGCTTATGTATTTTTGTTCATTCACTAACATACATTAAAGTTTAAATTTATCAGCTTGTTGATTGCCTTATGTAGAAACAAGGCACTTCAGAATGAGTAAAGTAGCTCTATTTCTGGGGAACGAGGAGGGCACTCGTGACACTTACATAGTGTTTGCGTGACTATTGAAAGTTAAGTATCGAGATGAAACCGCGTCCTATCCTACATCTCTTCAGATTTTCGGTTCAAAGAAATCGGCCAAGCATTTCCGTTCCAAGAAGTATCAATTGCCAGATCGTATTAATACATGGTGTTCAATATGAAAACACACTAAGCCTAAATCAACAGCATCTTAATAACTTCAAAAGCCGATAGCAAGAATGGCCAGGCTCAAGGCAGCTCGATAACTCCTTGAACATACATCCGTTCACAGGAAATACGATAGCATTTATAGCCCCAGCTAAAAAAATGACTTAACCAGCTCTGATATCAAAAAGACGCTACTAATACCCTACCCCTCCCGCCTCACTACCCAGAGCGGCCATACCAAGCCAAACTATTTGAACGGTACCGAGTGGTCCGAGATAGCTGGGACGGGGTGACATGCCAGCGGCTGATGAGAGGCGGGGCCCGGGAGGGCACACGTGACGTTGATATGGCCGACATGACCGCTTATACTGCCGATAACAGCTATCGGCTACCAGCCTGCTCCGCCTGATAACGACCCAGTCCGTTGAATGCAGCCTCTCAGGCCGACGGAATGTGTAATCATTAGTAGCAACTGACCGTTCTAATTGACATACACAGCTAAAGAGTGGCGTAATTCACTGAGGGAAGAGATGTATGTATGTATGTATGTATTGTATTCATAAAAATCTCCACATCGTGGCTCTTCCGATTTCAGAGTCAGTACATTAGTTAAACACAGTGGGCATGTTCATAAAACACGAAAAAATGATGGTTTAAAAATCACTATAAATTGCTAAAATGCGATAAAACTGAGCACATCTACTCCCCATGTCTTGCGATTCACCTCCGTGGGTGACACAATAAACGACTCCTCCTGAGCTCGGCTGGCAGGCGGTTCCAGGCGGTGGTAGCCCGGCACATAAATGCACGGCGAGCGAGTTCTGTGCGCACGCGTGGCATTTGCAGCAGCATACTCTCCGATCCCCGCGTGGTCCTTTCTGATACATTTGAACGGGACACAATCATTGTGCGGAGATGCTCAGGCGACTCAGGTGACCTCAGAATCCGACAGAGTGCCGCCAAGTCACATTTAGTAATCAGCTCATCAATTTTGAGCCATCCCAGTTCTTTTAAAGCGGGAGTAATATGCTGAGACCTCTTTAGTCCGTTGATGATCCTGGCACCAAAATTTAGAACTTTCTGGATCCTATACTTTTGGGTTTTGGTGCAGCCGCCCCAAACGGTCAGACAGTAAGTGATGTGGGGATAAACAAGCCCTTCAATGATAACTTTTTTGGTCTCGTGTGGTAGTCGGTGGCTCAGCTTTGCAAGTCCCACCAACATACCATAACAGCGCCTGATGACGGCAGATATCTGGAGGTCCCAATTGAGATAAGAGTCCAAAGTTATGCCAAGAACCTTCACAGAAGGAGAAGGACTGATGAGCTGTTCCCCAAAATGAATTTTAAATGTTTCGTTGATATCTAAGTGAATTCGCTTAGACTTCACGACCAAGAGATCTGTTTTTGAGGGATTAATTTTTAAACGATTTTGAGTAAACCAATTCAAAACAATTTTGAGCGTGTTCTCTACTCTAGTACGGAGGTCACCCACGTTGGCCGGAGCATCCGCATCGATAAACTGCGCGTCGTCGGCATACATGATGAGCTGTCCGTGGCGAATAAAAGAAGGTAAATCGTTGGTAAATAGTAAAAACAAGATCGGTCCCAAAGTACTCCCTTGGATTACGCCATGTGTCACCGCCACTGGCGTTGTACACCCCGCCACACGCTGCGTTCGGCCTTCAGATGACTCATCAGATGACTCATCCTATGACTCTAGCCCGCGGTGTGATCATATCCAGACCAGCCGCTCATAACGCCGAGGACTCACATTAGCGATCCTCTTGCCGCCCTTGATTTCCGACTTCATCTTGGCGAACGTGTGGTAGTAGGAAGCCACGTAGGTCATCACCGACTTCTCGTCTGGCTTGTTGACGTCGATATCTGTGGACGCAGGCGACTCGTCAGGCGGCGGGTCATCAAAGTGTACACGCCGCAGGCGTCAGGAGCTATCTGCGGAGAGAGGCGGAGAGGAGAGGGAAGCGGGAGAGAGGCGGGGAGCGCGGACCAGGTGATCACCGGGCCATCGGCAGCTGTGAGGAATGAGGATGTCAGCTGGGGACTGATTCTCCACATATTACACCTTTTTGCACTCAAAATAGGCATCTTTTCATTCAATTTCGGCGAATTGCATTCAATTTTAGCGATCTCTCTATTCGAAGCAAATGAGAGATCGCTAAAATTGAATGCAATTCGCCGAAATTGAATGAAACGATGCCTATTTTGAGTGCAAAAAGGTGTACTACCGGCTCAATGAGCAACACACTTGTGGTAGGGCGGGTCAGTGAGCAGGCGTGCTCGTACACACGTCAGCCTACGCTGAGCAGCTGTGGTGCGCAAACACAATGGGCTCGGGATTCGACAAGAATGCAGTGAAAACTTACCACAATGATCAATTCGATCAATGGCTTGTGGGCTCACTGATGAGCACTCCGAGTTAATCGTAACCGCAACTATGAGCATATGACGTTTGATTCATTGTCGGCATTACAAAACAAAGCTGACAGGCACACGAACCAGATTACCAAGTAGCTGAATGAAGCCGTTTTCTAGAGCCCATTACAAACCATCGGCATCCGCAGTCCTTATCGAACATCACGAGTCGTATGTTTTCGCAGACATCACAATACGACAGCGTGTTCGTGAGGTGAACGCATCCATCCCAGTAACCACTACGCGCTGAAAACTTTGCAGTTCCACGCGAAAAACTTCTGCACGGTGCAGGTTAGGGTTCTGATTATCCGCTACCCACGCAGGGGACTCTGGGACCGCACAGTTAGTGAAAGCTGCCACCGACTCTGCAGCCCGGGCCAGCCAGGTTTTACACAGGAGCAGCAGGTAGTCATGAGCGGGTGCCGCAGTTCAGGCTCGAACCATACGCCCCATTGTTTGGCCATGAATATGTGCTGAGGGGCACGACAGCGGGACAGCCTAATGATGATGTACTAACAGCTATAATAATCACACGGACAGGCGTGAGTCAGGTTCAAACAGACAGCACACAATGGTAAATGGCGTGGTTTCGAGCCCATTGGAAATCCGCACACTGACATACACGCTAGTTCCATGCCTACACATTAGTAAAGGCACACCAGCCAACGAGCTGGCTGAGTGAATCACCGCCGATGCCCTGGTAATCTGATAACGACTCGGGCAGCAGCTCACGGCCGTGGTTCCGCGCCAGTTCCGAGCAGCGCGCTCAGTCCGTGACCAGGAAATGTCGTAATAGTCACGCGAATGTAACAACAAACGCCACTATTGTCGTACCATCGTTCTACAAAGCCGTGCAAAAGCCGCATCCACACCTGAGCCTTGTTCCTGTTCCCGAATATGCCAATCGGGCACACGCTATACCATTCAGTCTATTCGCCTTTCCGATCGAACTCCACCTATCCGCTTCCGACACATGAAACTCACCAGTGTTCACCCTGTTCCTGCTCCCTCTCCCCTCCCATGGGTAGTTCAGCCACTCACCCTCGGCGTCGAGCAGCCGGTGAATGCCCAGGTCCTCTCCCCCCTCCCTCTGACAGTTCAGCCACTCACCCTCTGCATCGAGCAGCCGGTGGATGCCCAAGCCCTCTCCCTCTCCCTCTCTTCCCTCCCGTGGGTAGTTCAGTCACTTACCCTCGGCGTCGAGCAGTCGGTGGATGCCCAGGTCCCCTCCCCTCCCGTGGGTAGTTCAGCCACTCACCCTCGGCATCGAGCAGCCGGTGGATGCCCAGGTCCTTCTGCGCCACCTCGAAGGCGTTGTTGAGGTTGGCCACGTGGTTGGCCGGCTGCAGCGACTTGTAGTCGATCAGGTCCGGGCGGTGCGCGTGGATCAGCGCGTTGAAGCCCAGACCGTTCCGCCATGACGCTGAAACACACAGTGCAGATAAGGTTAAAGCCCGGGCCCCGGGAAGCGATTGGGTGGTTCGGGAGCTAGGGTCTGATGAACGATGGAAAGCTCGAAACAGTTTCGATGACATTTGCCATAAGCGACTTTCATTAGAGAAGTTGTCACCGGCCCTCGAAATCATTCGTTGCCCTAGGATAGACACTGGTTATATGTCATTTTGAGGTCGCGATGGGGATAAAAAATGGAAGAACATGACATTGACAAGATGGGATACCTTTGTCCCATATTCAATTTTTTTTCGTGCCCGGTTCGAACTAGCATTTATTGAGGATAATCCTTCGGAAAGCACTGGTGTTCGGGGGCGCATTTTTCCGTGTCGGCTGCACCTTTTCCTTGTGTCGGCCCGGACGAAACACGGCAGCGCGCTGCCACCGAATCGATCAGGACCGAGTGACAGTCGACAGATGGGCTACGGTCGGCGCGGACCGCCGGGGAGGGAGCGGGCTGCCGCCGCCGGCCGGCCGTCCCCCGGCAGTCGGGGACTGGCGTGCCCCGGCGACGGGCTGGGATGGATGGTAGGAGCTCGAGGGGTTCCTCTGCACGGACTCGGCAGCAGGAAGGGAGGGCCGGTATGGACCGACACGCCGCCAGACTACCAAACCAGCACTGATGTACCGTCACGTGCCGTATGCGGCCGGCCGCGCCGCGCCGTGCCGCCGCCGCCGCCGCTTACAGAAAACACCGGCAAACAATCGGTCCCGCCGGTCGCAGTATCGCGGCCCACAGCGACAAAACATCGCGACTGCGAAATGACGGGAGCCGGAGCACGGTCGCGGCAGTTGGGCACGGCGGTAAGGCATGGCCACGGCAGGGTCGGGCACGGGCGGTCAGAGCACGGCACGGCTCGAAATTGTACCGCCTCCGCACGACGTCTGGCACGAAACGCCCCCATCCATCGCTCGATCATCCGCACGCGAGGTCGCCGTTGGTGCAATGTTGTCGAGCGAGCGGCCGGCACGGTTCGGTGGCCACAGGTCGGAATTACAGGCCCGAGGGGCCTACTCTCGGGATCTGCCTTACATTGGCATAACAGCGGAGAGGAATGCTTGTAATGTCAGTACGCTTACCGACGATACGCTTGGCGGATCACTGGTCGCGTTTAATAACAGTAACCGTTTTCTGGGATGCCAGCCGCTGATGGTTAATGGTGCGGTAAATGACGGCCTGATGCGGCGCGGCGCGCGGTCTCCGCGGTCGGTATCTCACTGTGGCGGGTGAGCTCCTCTAAAGGATAGGCGAGGTCGCTGTATGATGAACTGGTGCGCCGCATCGCGCGCTCTCCGCGGTCGGTATCTCACTGCGCTCACTAGGTGAGCCCCTCTGACGGGGAGGTGAGCAGTGCGGACTCACAGGAGAAGTCGCTGATGCGGACGCCGTTGTAGCCGGCCGTCTTCCTCTGACACCAGAGCAGCAGCGCGTCTTTGGCCGACTTCTTCTCACTGGACTCGTCAGTCTCATCCTGAGGGCAGACAGATAAAGAGGTGTTATACATGACCAGATACAGAAGCTGAGAAAGGCCACAGGCCAAACAGGTGCCTACAGCAACACAGCATCGACGCGGGGTCGGGCGGTGATGTCGGACATTGTCTCGTGCGAATGACAATCACTTCATATAAAACGGAAATCAAATACCGAGCCATAGTCGGGCGTTGTTTGAAGTCAAAGATCAAGTGTAAGGCGCGGCTCATTCAAGGCATGAATGGACGATTATGCCTAACGTACACTTGCGAACGATAACGGCGCCGCTATGCAAGGAGAGTGGATAACGTTCCGGTGTCACGTGCGCCATTCAGAAACGAAGCCGGCACGAGGCATGATGTCATCCACGTCATATCACGTCACGTCACGTCACATGTCATATGACACATACAGCAGTGCATCCTGTCCGCCGGAAGGTGACGGGACGCCGACATCGGGTCACCGGCTCACCGATCGTGTCACCAAGTGCAGAGGGGGCGGCACCTGTGACCTATCAAGTGCCAGCTCCCCCTCCCGTCCCCCTGACGTTCGAACTAGCCGCGGTCGTTCAGCGTGACATCATCGGCGGCGATTCACGGTGTCGGCGACTTGTCGAGTGTGTCTGATTCATCGGTGACCGCCTCCGCCCTCCACCCCCCGCCCACACACCCCTCTACCTCCGGAGACCACGCGCCATATATGTACCGGCAGCGGCGGACTGCCAGCCGCCCGGAGCCTGTTGGGGGCAGCGTGGTGTGAATCAGGGCCGTTTAGCGCTGTCGGTCAGTGAGCTGGTATACAGAGAGTGGGCGGTGGGGTAACGAGCCCCCATCACGGTCCGGAGAGAGACACCAACCAATCCACCAGATGAATCCACCAATCCACCAGCGATGATGTCCACCGTCACACCACCCCGTGGCAGACCACGGCCATATATCAGGCGTGACAGACATCAGTGACCAACGTCAGCCCGTGAGTAGCGTCATCTGACGCAGGGAGGGGTCGCCAGGTGACGTCAGATCCGGGTCCGGGCGGGAGCTGGCCCCCATATCGGCCACCGTGTCAGCGGGGAGGCGGGTCGAGGTCGGCTCGGGGGCCCCACTGGAGCAGCCGCGGACCTGGTGCACAAGCGTCCCCCGAGCTCTTAACTGGCCGGCTCGACCTTCAGAAGGCGGGCACTGGGGTCCATTCGATTCATCCTACTTACGGATATCAAAAAGCGCTGCTGGAACAAAATGTCCAACACAGCCGTTTTATGACAGAATTGTCCGGCTATAAAACCACGTGACTCTGACAGGTTACTAAATTGTCCGACTATAAACCCTACCCATGTAGCCCTGGTGGGTTCGTAGCGGTCGATCCGCTCGCTGGTGAGGGCCCATCACCGATCGGCATCGTGTGGGCCGGTCTCATGTAGCCCGTGGGCCGGTCTCGGGTACCCCGCGGTCGGTCTGAGCACCCCGTGGGCGGGTGGAGGAGGCTCGGATATCGACTGGCGCCCACGGCTCGTCAGACGGGCAGATGGCAGCTCCGGCTACAGCCAGCTCGCGGCTCCGCGCCGGTGACCTGTGTTTTGACCTCGCTACAATACGGCGCTCAGTCAGCTCCGCCTTCCCGTCGGACCGTCAGCTCTGAGACGTCAGTCAGTCCACTCCGTCAGCTCTGACACACCAGTCAGTCCGTCAGCTCTGACACACCAGTCAGTCCACTCCGTCAGCTCTGACACAGCAGTCAGTCCGTCAGCTCTGACATACCAGTCAGTCAGTCAGCTCTGACACAGCAGTCAGTCCGTCCGCTCTGACACAGCAGTCAGTCCGTCAGCTCTGACACAGCAGTCAGTCTGTCATCTCTGACACAGCAGTCAGTCCGTCAAACGTCCGTCATCTCTGCCCGTCATATCCGCTCCATCAGTCCGTCCGACTCATCCCACCCGACAGGCGCCTCACTCCCATCCGTTCGTTGATCCGGGATGGTCCCTGCTGGTCCGTCGGTACCGCGCTGGTCCGTCGGTACCGCGCTGTTCCGTCGGTACCGCGCTGGTCCGTTGGACCGGGCTGGTCCGTGTGGCGGCGGCAGGGACCGGCCATGACTCGGCAGTTCGGCACCGAGGCCGTCGGGCGGTGACTGCTTGTGTGGCCGCCGCCGGGCTGAAGAGCTCTGAGTGACGGACGACAGGGGAGGGTGCATCCTGTGTGACGCGCCGTGACGCAGCCCTAGTAACAGCCCGTCACCGTCACAGAGACCGCCCTCAGATCCCCCTACAGAGTCGAAGCAGAACCTCCAGGTCCATTACTAGCTCCGAGCATCAGAAAGCAATGAGCATGCACTCCCGCAGCGAGCAGCCAGCTAATGTAACTCCACCGCTTAGGTCGGCAAAGAACAGAATACCGCTGGCATCTCAGGGCGCGATTAGGGCCTATCCCATTTAGCTGATTAGCGTGTCAATGTGCCATTGTGCCAGTGAGTACGGCCATAAAGCCGGCCTCATTAACCGGCGGTCCGTCGGGCAAGCCGCGTGACCGGCCCCGGTGACCTGGGCGGTGGAACAGGTGTCTGCGCCGCCCACCGAGCGGCCGCGGGCGGTCACCGGCCGCCGGGGTCGCTGTCCGACCGGAGAACCGAACAGGAGACGGGAGACGGGACAGCCTTGACAGTGGACGACCGAGGCGCGGCGACCTTGGCAGCGCGGCTCCTGAGAGCTAGCTGCCGCCTATGCCGATACAAGGACTGGCATCACCTAGACGAGGACGGCCGATCACATCACAGGACACCTGGTTGGGATCGCAGACGTGCAATGGATGATAGGTGCTTGGTCCTGACTTATTTTGCACCACCATAACAGCGTATGACAAGATACAGACATCAACCTACATACAACATACCACGTGAAGGTCCTCTACCGGCCTCAAGTCCACCGTATAACGAGGAAACTGAGGCAAACTTTCTCGGAATGTAAATTTGTGATTAGAGCGTCAAAAATCCGTTTCCACTAACCACAACCGCAGGCCTAACGGCCACTGATGTCAGAAGTGATAGCACACGACTTCCTTTAGTCAGTTTGCTGTTATAGCGCCAAAATTTGAACTCAACACGTCACATTTTTACTATTCTATCAAGGTGGGAACTGGGAGTTCCATCCGTCAAGTTCCACCAAAAGTGCTACAATGCATGTCCGACGGTGTCCAGGAGTTGGTTACCATAACGGGTCTGAAGGGGGAAAAACTGGCCATGGCTCGCGCAACTTTCGCCGACAGCCCGCCGAGTTTCGCAACCCGCTCACATAGCCGAGTCAAGCCGGTCCAAGCAGCTATGGGCATTGGACAGCGGCGACAGTGTGCAAGCGTCACCTGATAGTTATCGTGAATTCATGACAATGCGGTTTTGACAAGGCAGGTAGCTGCTTAGTAACCAACAGAACCATGCGGATATACCCCACACAAAAAGGGCTTAGATATTCAGTTGGAACTTCCTCGTTGGAAGCTGTGGCAAAGCCGCATCTCAACATGCCTAAACTGTGTATTTAGGTACAACCTTCGATATTCAGCATATGGCGCAGAAAGTTCTTCTTGACAGATGGAAAATCAGCCGATGTGGTTTGAAACTGTGCTGGCTTGAAAGGTTGCACCACATCTAACCTCTCGTGAAGCAGATGCAAATTCCGGTCTGCGACGCCGCCCTGTCCAGACCGAGTCGACGCCTCTGATCATCGGTGACAGGTCCCTATAGCAGCGAGTTGCCGCTGTCCTCGGCAGGCTCGGAGTCTGGTCCCAGAAGCCGACACCCTTTCACTCTCTGCAATCGGCAGCGGCGGCAGCAGAGGCGGCAGCGGCGACCGAGGGCCGGCTAGAAAGGCAACCCACTGCATCTGCGCAGCTCCCGAGCTGAGGTTCAGGCCACCGTTCGGCGCCCATAACCCGTCGGTATGCGGCCCACCTGTGGTCAAGACCCCCAGTCGCTCGGCACGGATCACCGGTCGACGCTACCCGTGACAACCCTCTCCCTCCCTCCTGACCCGGCACTCGGCAGTCGGCACTGCATGCAGCCGATGACCTACCGCCCTGCGCTCCTGACCCGGTAGTGCACCCCACCTCACCGCTGACCTGTCACCCCTACGGCGCCTCCCACACCCCTACCGATCGGCAGTCCCGGTGACCGGCGCCTCCCGCGCGGACAGGGACCGGCCGGCGGGTGTTTATTTACACGGGGCCACAGGGTTACGATCTGAGGCTGAGTCAGCCTCTGGCAGCCGCGCTCACCACGCGGTAACCTCCCCTCCCCTCACCAGCCGGACCGCGGCCGTCACCGCCGTCAGTTGCTGCTGCCAGCCCCGGGATGACGCCTCAGCGCAAATACACCGGCCTCAGCCGCCGACAGCCGACCGATCGAGACACAATGCGGCGTCGGCGGGCTGTCAGAGCCCGCTCCGGCCCTGTCAGCCGCTGCAGGGCCCGTCGGGACGCTGCAAACCCGCCTCCCCCGCCCCAGGGCGCTGAGAGGTGAACTAAGTGATGAGTGCGCGCCGGGTAGCGTTGCTGAGATGAGCTGCTGTCAGCTGGGGCTGATCGGCCGGCGATTAACCCGCATCAGGTGAAGAGTGCAGTGCAGCGTCGGCACTGCACCGGTGCTGACGAGGGTGATCTGCTGGGTGCTGACGTGGTAGGCGTCTAGAGACTCAGGTGGGGGCGTGTTGTTGCTGAGCGCTGAAGTACGTTGTTCCGATGGAGCGAGTAAGGCACATGATTATGAAGACTGTGAATTATGATGGCGATGGCGAGTTTGGCGAATTACTCTAAATTATTAATTATGAAGGCGAGTGAAGTGTTGATGATGTGATGGAGCTGGAGTGTAAGTTGACAATCAGCGCCCCTGATACGTACTGTGGGTGTCCATTCTGTACGGGCCGGCCCGATAATCGCACCTGCAGCCGTCTCTCAGTTTATCTCAGGCCCTCCCACCTGTCATCTCTGAAGCGGCCGACTCGGGAGACGCCGGCGATGCTATCGTGACACGCTGATTGCGCGGTGACGTATCGACTCGGGTACTTACGATGTCGATATCGATGACCTCGATCTGGAAGCGCAGGATGATGGTCCATATGAGGCCCAGTATCAGCCGCGGGTTGCCGTCCACTATGTCCTCGGCGCCGATACTCTCCAGACGCACCTGTCGGACGGGTCACAGGTCAGAGGTCAGGTCAGAGGTCGGGTCAGCTCAGCTCAGAGGTTGAGCCAGGGCAGAGGTAAGGTCAGAAATCAGGTCACCACCTATCACTACAAGCAAGCATCGCTTTAATATGAAATTCGTGTAAAAATATCTACTCGTATTGTCAGCCGTCCGAAATCTTCACGAAGTTGGGTCTGAAAATGGGTATGAGTGGACTAATCAGGTCACTAACGTAATGTTACAGATAAGGGGACCAACACTCCTATCAGGCCGGGCAATGCGGTACGACAGCATCACGCCTTGGTGAAATTGGTCGTCATATTCAAATAGAATAGACTCCATTCCAGGATGGCGCCATGACCGACGAACTCAGATGAAACGATTTCAATCACTGCGCACAGATGAGCTTGTATTCGATAACATCAGCCGAAACCAATCAGCCGGCGCGAACAGTCATTAACGAAGCCATCAGCGAGTGGGACAGGTCACGGCCCGCCTTCAGCGCCCACCCCAGCGGCGACTGGCAACCTAAGGTGAGGTCCGAGCGACTGCCAAAGACCAGACACGACCACAGGCTCTGTGATCCACCGCGACCGTCAAGGAGACCGTCACAGCGGTCCAGGGCCCGTTGTGCCGGCCAGGTAATAACCGTGAAGCCGTCAAGAGATCCATTCATGGCACGACCACAGAACAGCCACAGTCAGCCATGACCCAATCATAGCGAACGATGATCGTGGGCTCGATCATAGACCGGTCATAGAGCGGTCACAGCGCGGTAGGGCTTTGGCCATAGAACGGTCAAGAGCGTTCCCAGTCCGGTCATAGAGCCGGTCATGGAGCCGGTCATAGACCGGTCACAGCGCGGCCACGAAGCGGTTAAAGCGTGGCGGTTCGGCGGTGACCGTCCGCGGCTGGTCACAGCCGGCCGATCGAGCGGAGAGCGCCGCCGCCGTGCGGAGAGGGCCGCCGTCCGAGCCACACGATACCTACCGGCAGCCGCGGAGAGGGCCGCCACCGTGCGGGGATGGCCGCTGTCCAGTGTCTGGCCGCACGGTATCTACCGGCAGCCGCCGCCACTGGTTGGGGTGTGTGGGCCGCAGATACGGTACAGCCGGGCTGGCAGAAACGGCAGGCCGCGGATGGAACTCATCCAGAGACGCCAGATGGGCGGCTCAGCTCTGGATTCCAGGCCCAGCGTTCACTACTGCGGCGACTTTGTCTCAGTCCGCCGGCGCGGCGCGTCTCTGTTCGCCGGCCGTTTCCGTGCGTGTGGTAGGCCTCACATCTGGGCGTCGTCCTCCGCCAGGAGCGCCTCCCGCCGAGAGCGGACCACATGTGCCGGTGCCATGCACGGGGACGGCGGGCGGGGGCTGAGAGGGGGAGGTGAATCACGCCCAGTTCCGGCGGCCGCCCCGCCCCGCCCCGCCGCGCCCCGGTCATGAGTCGCGCCGCCGCCGAGCCAGTCATCGGATGGCAGAGGACGGCCGTCATTAGCATGCGGACTCGGCAACCTGATATATACATACACATACATAGCCGCCGCCGCCGCCAGCCCGGCCCGTCGTGTCGTCCTGCCGGGGCCCAGGGCTCTGGCCGGTGAGCGGTGGACACTGGCCGGCCCGGAGACTGCGCGACCGATGCATTAGCGCCGTCTAATTTATGTAACGATAGCACCTTCACCGTCCCTCTGGTGACCAGTTCGTGGAAAGCCACCTGTGGCCGGCGGTTAAACAGGGCCAGACATCCGTGTCACATTCAAATGGCGGCGTGACCTCGGCCTGATAATGTATACAGGCCGCTGTGGGCCGACCATCGGTCATAGGGTGTCGGCCGGCGGACGGCGGACGGCGGGGGCCGACCCGCCCCGGACGACAGGGGCCTCCCGGACCGAGAGCGGCAGTGCGGCCGGCTAGCCGAGAGGAGCAGCTGTCCGGCTTCTCAGCCATCTAAGGAGACTAGCTGTACAGCCGGCCGAGAGGACTAAAGCTGGACTACAGCCGGCCGAGTAGGACAAGCTGCCCGGCTGTTTGAGGAGCAGCTAGCTGCCCAGCTTCCACCGGACAACCATGCTATAAACCATGCAGCCTATGCGCTGACACGGCGCTGGGCTGCGGCACGGCTCCAGACGGCGCGGTTCGAGTTGCCAGGTGCAGTGGTCCGGCCGAAACCAACACCGGCCACTGATGCAACAGCCGCCGCCTGCCGCCGCTCCCACCGCGGCCCATTCACCGGCCGCCTGGCAACGGCTGCCAGATGTGGCGACCTTGCGGGGTCACGGGCCGGCCCGGCGGCCAGTCCGGCGGTCACCCCGCCCGCCGACAGTGCCAGACACAGTCACGGGACGGGATGAAGGGCAGAGTCATCATCGGTCGGGCGCCAACGGCGGACACAGGGCGACAGCACTCGGTATTTTCAGCACAGCCGGAGGACGACATCTTTGTCGCTGCGGTCTGTTTAGTGCTTGGAAATGTCTAAACCACGTTGTTCATTGTTAGACGTAAAACAGAACAGCTTTTCAAAGGTATGACCGGTCTCATAAAAGTGTTTGGAGGTCGTGCATTTTCAGTTTCTAATTGATGTGGCATCATAATAATGAGCTGTCACCAGGCAAAACATACCAAAACGCTCTAACGTTGACGATAAATGCCCTGCAACATCTCCCTCCACCCTTTGGTGTCCTGTCCGTACCTTGGTGTGCAGAAAGGCCAGCGACTTGTTGACGTTTTCAATTTTGTGCACACGCATTTTGCCGTTGTTTGGTTTGCCGAGCTTCTCGCCGGAGATGATCTCGAGGAGCCGCAGCAGTTTCCTGCCGTCGGCCAGGTCCGTGAAGATGTCCTCCACCTCCATACGAGTCTGCAAGAACACAGACGATAGGTCAGACGACAGACAGTGATCGAGCAAAACACACAGGGAGCTGGTCAAACGGAAAGACAGACACATAAACACTAGTAAAGGTCAAATCGTACTAGGAGTTGGTAAATTGCTAACGTTCTTCGCAAAGTACGCTAGGTTGCAGCTGCACGACGATGGTGTTGACAGAAACAGTGTTGTTTGGACGGCTGTCCTTGACCACCAAAAAGTCAATCCTTCTGGGGCCGTGATTAACCCGCGCCCTGGTGGGGTCTGTTTATAACGCGACCTGGTGGGGGGGGGGGCTATTTTTTGCCCCCCCCCCCTCGTATCTCCGAAACTACTGGACGGATCCGCAAAATTCAAACGGCGTTCGAAAGGCCTGTCAAATTTGTCGAGGGAAACCAAATTTCATTGACCTCGGGGTCACCGATGACGTCACAGGTCAGGTCAAAGATGAAATGTTTCACCGTTCACGGGTCTGCTAGGGAATGCGCTATAACACCGAGGAAAACGCATTTTGTCGATAATCAGCGATAGGGCGTCAGTTGCCTAGTAGATATGTTGCTATTAGAGGTCACTGACAAAACCAGGTCAGGTCACAGGTCAGGTCACCAAGGGTCACAGGTCAGGTCACATGAGCCCAACTTTACTAAGGTTGTGTGATGCATGTTTTATGGCCAATTTTTCATTTCCAACTCAATGGTGTTGGTTATAAGACTATCAGGTACGGCTTAGGTCACTTTCTGGTGAAGTTCAGGTCAAGGTCAGGTCAAGGTCAGGCCAAAAAAGGTCAAATTTTAAAGTTGATAGTTTTGCATAAAATGGGTATTGATTCGATGCAGCTCGTCACGGGGAGTCTAATGGTGGTCTTTGTTTTGCGCTACGGGGTCTAGAATTGCTAAAAATTGAGTTTGAAAATTTGACGTCATCAATTTTGAACAGTTTTTTCGCTATAACTTCGCCAAAAAAAGAGGTATCAATCTCAAATTTGGCATGTGGATGGAAGGCGGGAAGGACTATCACATATATTCCGGTTTTTTCGAAATTCAAATTTTTTTTGGATTTTTCGATTATTATATCCAAAAAGATTGTTTTTTGATTTTTGGGGGTCCAAATCCAAAAATTTCAAAAATCCGAGATAGCAGTTTTGTAGCCCTGTTGATTCTACAGCTTTTATGAATTGATCATTTTTCTGTATTTGCAAAGCTATAGGCCTGACAGCTCTTCCCGCGAAACCCTTTTTTGGGTCGAAAACGGCAGAACATGACGTCACTCTGACGTCATTTCCGGCCAACCTATCATAGCCTTTGGAAAAAATTTTGGTCACAATGTGTAAAATTGATGTCCGGGAGGGTACTGAAAGTTTGGTGACGATCGGCGCAGCGGTTCTGGAGATATATCGAAAAGTCTGGAGGGGGGGCAAAAAATAGCCCCCCCCCCCACCAGGTCGCGGGTTAAATCGGTGACAAACACCACACCACATCGATCGCTTTTCACGCCGCCGTGGCAGCTCCACCTGTCAGTGTCGCCGTTCGTCCAGCCGCGGTCCAGTGGTACCCCACCCCACCCCCGCCCCGTCTAGACACGGCCGATAAGACGGACAGGTGACACGGCCGGCCACTCTGCTGGCGTGCCGTGGCGGTCGTATACCGGGCCAAACACAACACGCCGTCCGGACCTGCCTCACCGACCGTGCACGGGATTACTACAGACACATCGAACCCGCCGCCGCCGCGGTCACCGAAAACCCCCGCCGTCCGGGACATCTCGTCCGTCAGCCGACATTTGGCCAGCGCCAAAACAGCAGAGATGCCTACGGCAAAAATGGGCGGGCCGCGACCGCACGTGCCTGGTGGGCCGACATTCAGCAGTAGGCGACAAGTTCGTTGGTAGATTGGTTAGCTGATTGTGGATTTACACTGTGCTTACTCTACAGTTCTACACCAAGTACCAAAAAATGCTGGCCGGAACTCTGATGCTTTTCCAAGAAACTAAGGATCGTCAAATTTCAATAAGCCCTGCCTCGCACATTTTCCAATCCTCCTCTCCCTGCAGAAAAAACCTAAACGACAGTAGTACCCGCCTACTGCAAGACCGTTAGAGACCGTCAAGCGCCCAGACTCGACAGTCGGCACCAAGCGACCCGACCGGGCCACGGGCCGCCCCGGGTCGCTCGGAACAGTTCCGGTCGCCGTGAGTGCGGTCGACACGACACACAGACGGTGTTTAACGCTCATTTCCGGGCGGACGTCCGCCTCCGGCCGTCGGCGACGGTGGAAAATGGAGGAATACATGACTAGGAGCAGAGAGGAAAGGTAGGGTGCAACACTGAAATGGACAGGGGCGGATGGAAGGCGCTCAGAACAGAAAGTGGCCAAGAGCAGGGCCTGAGAGGTGAGAAAAACGGACGCTAATTGAGTGACATCCATGCATGAAAAATGCGAGAAACGGTACAATATGCTGGTAAGCAATAGCCCAATTAACGCGAATATGAAATAACGACAAGTTAACAAGTCTTGTCATGAAAAACTATGAAAGCAAAGATGCCTTAAAAGGTATACAATATGTGGTAGCGCCGAGTACATAAAATATTGAACTATCCAAAGCCCGTGAGACTGCCTTTAATTGCAGACCCTCGGCGGGGCGTGGTGAGTTTGTCCGCAGCAGACTCCATCAGCTCTCCCACGGCCGCCGTCCGAGTTATGTGGGATGAACGGTCCGGTTCGGTCGGACGTCCCTCGCCCGGGGCGGCCGCTCGACAGAGACAGACGGACCGCGGGTAAAGCCGCCGGTATGTTCACAGGCCCGGCCGTCGGCACGGCGGCAGCGGAAACGATGGGAGAGATGGGGAGGAACGGGAAGGGAGTGGAGAGCAGCGGAGGGAGAAAGGCGGAGACAGAAAGCTGCAGGTGAGCCATTGGCAGCGGAACAAGCACGAACAGACAGAGGAACGTGAGGAGAACAGTATCATGCTGACTTTGACGAAGCGGAGCGCTTAGCACGCTGGCAATCGGCGGCCTTTGTGGCGCGACTGCGGCGCTCCCGGGCACAACAGCTGGCGGCGAGACCACGGCAACTCCTGCGGCAAAAACGGCGCGCCGGCCGGCTTTGTGGCGCGCGGCGCGCAGGGGCAGCCGTGGCCGCCGCCAGCCTCGGTCGCCGGGAGCCGGTCGGTGCGTAGTAACAGGCTGTGTATTGTGTAGCTGACTACTGGTGACCGCCGCCACCGCTCTGGAGTGTTGACACCTCTGAGAGTCCCAGGTCACCACTCACAGCCTCGCCGGAAATGTAGCGTCAGGCTCCCAGGGGACCAACAATAACACTCCTCCACCGACCGGTGTCTGAACGGCGCAGCGGGTCGAGGATCCCAAACAGAAGATAACCGTCTCAGCCAACAAACACGGACGCTTATTGAAACAGCAATTCGATTACAGACGATTCCCAAAACACGACTACGACGCAGCTTTAGCGGAAAACATTGAATAACCTGGCAGCTGGCACTGATGCCTCGGTGCCTTACCGTCTTTCGCCAAAAAATGCAGATGTCCCAGCACATACGGACTCCTATAATCCTTACGTTTCATTTCCACTTTGCAGCTTAGCATTTATTCGTGTCCATAAATAGAAAGCCAGAGGAAGGAGTGTCCACCATGGGCCATATCAAGATTATCCGTATCATCACATTGTTGGAGCATGCACGCTATTTTCACGTGCGGTTCCATGAATCACCTGTGACCCGCTCGGCTCTCGAGGATCGCGCCGGGTCGCAGCAACGTCCACAAACACGTTACATCAGCCGGAGAGTGTGGTGAGCAGTGAGCACAGCGGTCGGCAGAGGAGCCGCTCAGCAGGCGATTGTTTGACAATTCCTAGCCGGCAAACGACGGTTCAGCGGGACCGGAGTCAGCTGCTGGGACTAGACTCCCGCCCTCGGACCAGGCTCAGCCTTTCGACCCCGGTGGACAGGTGGACCAGTGGACACTGGACAAGTGGGCCTGTGGACCAGCTGTCACCGACGGACGGCACAGGGCGCCCGACGACCGGTCCATCGGCGGCCATCCATCCAGCTTAGCCACTAAGACGACTTGAGACGACGCTAAGCGGCCGCCAGTGAATCCAATTTACCCGGCTCACTCGAGCCGACTCACTCGAGCTGGTACAGTGGCCAATGGTGAGAGTTTCGGCGGCTGTCGATAGATACCGCCGCCGCCGGCCTGGCACGGCGCGACTGACGGCCGATAACAGGGCACATCACTGAACGTTGCACAACGGGCAGCTGCAGAACTGAGGCGCACTTTATTGACGTCGCAGGCAAACATTACCGTTTACTCAGTCAGCGGCAGTGGCGAGATAGACGACTGACAAAGTCCAGGCAACTGCAATTGCAAACGAATGGCAAGCCGGACCTGCAGCAGCCGTGCCAACAAGTCGGACGATTTCTTTGACATGAAAACCGGAGACTGACGACTGGTGACAGTTGCATTAAGTCAACAAAAGAAAAATTATGGTTTTTCAGTGTGCCGGCCACACTGTCAGTGATGGACAAAATGTGATGGACAAAGTGGCCCGTCGATGCCGAATGATGAACTCGACCGAGTGCATAATAAAAGCGGAATTATCTTTATTTTCGATCCCAGTATTCTCGATAAATCTAAGGAAATAGCTAGGTGAGTCGCTTTTAATACAGTAGGATTCCTAATTGGCTAAGCCAAACCCTTGTTCACAAAGGCTTTACAAACAATTAAACGGTAATGCATACATTTGTATTACATCAATTAGCTTCAAAGAGAATAAGCAGCGAGCATTGCCATATTTACACCAAGGGATTGTGTTTGAAAGTTTTATCGCACCATCATGTCTGCTGCATCTATGCGCCATAAATCGGTAGGATGACAAGCTTTTCATTGTATTTCTGACGCATGTTACAGTCAACACTCAGCAGTACCGGTGTGACAAACGGATTAGCCTTAAAATTGTGTAGCACAACAAAGGAACGATCC